TTTATTTATTTATTCCTCTCTCTGTCTCCCTTTCTTCTTCTATCTCCCCATCTCTCTCTCTCTCTTCTTCCTCTTCCCTACTCTCTCTCCTCCATCATAATCCTCCATGCCTTTTTTTTCCTCTTCTTCCCTTCTCTCTCTCGCTCTCCTATATATGTTTTTTTTTCTTCTTTCTTCTTCTATCTCTCCGTCTCTTTCCCTGCTTCCTCTTCCCTTTTCTCTCTCACTTCATCACAATCTAAAACAGCAAAACATAAAACCCACTCCATAATTGTTTTTGATTGCTGAGTGTTTGTTCGATCCGAGCTCAAGTCTTATGCTTCTGGATCGGATTTTGAAATATTTACAGATCAGAGCGCCTTTTCTGTTCTTTTCGAAATCGTAATCTTATTTGTTGATGATAATTGTTTTTGATTGCTGAGTGTTTGTTTGATCCGAGCTCAAGTCTTATGCTTTTGGATCGGATTTTGAAATATTTACAGATCAGTGGATCTTAGGGTTTATTTTGGTATTAAGTTTTGAAATATTAAAATTGTTTCATTTTTGACACAGTTCAAGTCGCGATATTATCGATAATATCGCGATATTATGACCCTTTAAACTGTGAATTGGACGAAAATATCTTCCTCGAAATATCCTCGAAATTATCGAGGAAAATATCGATAAAATGACGATATATACTTGGAAGTGTGCTAAAATTTCGGAGCCCCAAAAAAAAGTTGTACTGTGATTTAAACAAATAAAAAAAATATAACACAAAGATTTTATTCTTATTATGATATTAGAATTGCCACCCTCCACCACGCTACCACTCTGCATTCAATAATGCAAAAAGCAGGGATTTTGTATGACAAAAGGATCCACATTATTATTAGCAACTCATTTAAGTCGGTTTGTCACCATTTGCAATTTTGATTGGTGACCATTTTGATACGTAGTCCTTGTATTTATTTGGAAGGATGGACATCCAGCAGCAGGATGGACAGCAAGGCGCATCAATCAATCATGTTATTTGGAAGGATTAGAAATATGCATGATCATGTTGTAGAAGACACCAAATTTAAGCAATAATATTAATGAAAATAAGCAAAATGATTATAAAGTGTGGTTAACATTTCTGGAGAGATGAAAAAGCTGAAAAGATTAGTGACACTGAATTATATAAAAATTTCTATAAGAGGAAGTCTCACATTTCTATAAGAGGAAGTATTGAGATAGAACAATAAAACCTCGACTAACACTACCTGCAGCAGTTCCATATTCTCTCTGAATCTAAATCATGAATACTCCAATTGCAATTTTCCTTGTATACTTTGAAAAGGTGACTACTGCCCCTTGCTTTTTAGTGACAGTGCCTCCCTAATTGTAACCGTATAAACATCATCTCAAATCTACACCTCACAAAGAACTTAACTCGTATTAAAGTAGCAAACAAATCAAACTAATAATCCAACTTAACAAACCCAAAAACCCACTTGATCGGAATTCGGGTTTTGTCAAGTCGATTCATTGGGTTGGCAAAATATATGCCTAATTGAAGTAATTTGAAAAGGCAGGTAGCTAGGATCCAAACCAGTTTGAGGTTGCTCTGCATATGTTCAAAATTCTCATATCATTCCATCTAGCTAGACATAAATCTCTACCAACTTCTCTCAGGCATGCAATTTTCTGTCGAGCAGTCATGTCTTTAATAGCCTAATTCACACCAAACACAGAAAGCCCAAAGCACTTTATATAACAAGAACATTGCAATAACAAGCTCAGCAGCAGCACATTAATCACTAGGGTTTGAGATGTCATTGCCTTATTTGTTCTTAGATTCTGAAGTCACGTCTCCAATTGCTCTTTCCCTTGCTTTCACTATTTTTATGTTTCTTGTCAAATTCATACTCAAAACCCACAACAAAAATAGCGTCCAAGTCGTGCCTCTCCCTCCAGGGCCAAGCCCATGGCCAATTGTGGGTTGTTTGCCTGAAATGTGGAGGAACAGACCAGCGCACAGATGGATCCACAGCCTCATGAAAAAACTCAACACTGATATTGCCTGCATACGCCTAGGAAATGTCCATGTCATCCCAGTAACTTCACCAGAAATTGCCAGGGAATTTTTGAAGAAAAATGATGCAGTTTTCGCATCGAGACCCGTCACAATGGCCACTAAAACTTTAAGTAGCGGGTACTTGACCACAGTGGTTGGGCCTTGGGGAGACCAGTGGAGGAAAATGAGAAGGGTTTTGGTTGCTGAAGCGTTCAACCCGTCTAGGGTTCATTGGCTACTTGGTAAGAGAAACGAAGAAGCTGATAACCTGGTTAAGTTTCTGTATAACCAATGCTCAGCCAATCAAAATGGTGCAGTGGTGAATGTGAGAATTGCAGCCCAGTTTTACTCAGGAAGTATCATGAGAAAGATGATTTTCAACAGAACGTACTTTGGCAAAGGGAGGGAGGATGGAGGGCCTGGTGTTGAAGAAGAAGAACATGTCTCTGCGCTTCTTACTTTGCTTACTTATGCCTATGCATTCTGCGTATCCGATTATCTTCCTTGGCTTAGAGTTTTTGACATCGATGGGCACGAGAAAAAGGTACGGAAGGCTATGAACATTGTCAAGAAGCATCAAGAGCCTATTGTGAATGAGAGGTTACAAGAATGGAGAGATGGCAAGAGGAATGAGCCTGATGACCTGCTTGATGTTTTCATCTCACTCAAAGATGCAAATGGACAACCCTTATTATCAGATAAAGAGATCAAAGCGCAAACCACGGTAAACAATTATAGTATATATTTATCTTATCGTAAATTTAGTAACATATAAAATACTTATATGTTATGTTGTCAGACTTTGAATTGAGATGAAACATGTTCATCATGGCATAAGTATATGTGGATGATATATTAAACACTATACGTACACCCAATAAATGCTTCATTCTGAACCTAAAACGAATTTTTGGATGATGTTAAACATAAATATTAATAATAAAAAAAAAAAAAAAAAAAAAAAAAAAAAAAAAAAAAATACCCAAAAATAATATATGGGGATGATCAGGAGCTACAGCTCTCAACAGTGGACAGTCCATTCAATGTAGCAGAGTGGGCTCTAACAGAAATGCTCAACCAACCTGAGATGCTAAAAAAGGCAGAAGAGGAACTAGATAGGGTAGTGGGAAAAAAGACTCTTGTTCAAGAATCCCATGTCCCTCACCTCCCTTACATATGGGCATGTGCAAAAGAAGTTACGAGGTTGAATCCAGTTGGACCATTCAACCTCCCCCACGTGTCCATTGCAGATGTTGAAGTGGCAGGCTACTTCATCCCAAAGGGCAGCAATGTCATATTAAGCCGCTTAGAGCTCGGGCGCAACCCTAGAGTGTGGGAAGAGCCATTGAGATTCAACCCAGAACGCCATCTGAATAGAGCTGTTGACCAACAAGTTGACCTAGAAGAGAATGACCTGAGGTTCGTTTCCTTCTCTACTGGAAGGAGAGGCTGCATGGGCGTTGGGCTCGGCTCCACCATAGTTGTGATGCTCCTTGCAAGGCTCCTGCAAGGGTTTTCATGGAGCTTGCCGCCAGATGTGGACAAGATTGACTTCACTGAGGATCAGATTTACTTGAAGAAGGCTAGTCCTTTGCTTGCACAAGCCAAACCTCGCTTGCCTGCCTCTGTGTACCCAATATAACTGCGGGCTGAGATGTCGCTAGGCCTACTAAGATACTAGATTGGGCTTTGAGATTATACTGTGATGAAATAATATAAGCTTATGAGCTTCTTTCTTACAGCTGCTATCTGTATGTTTTCTTGCCCCTCTCCGTCCTCCATGATTCATGGAGTTTGAGGGTTGGTTGTGAATCTGATATAGCATGGCTTGGCTCCTTAATCTAAAACGGTTGTTTAACGTGGTTTGGTTGTAATGTGAGAGGATTTAGAATTTTTAGAGAAAATAGTCTCCTTGTATTGATATATGTTGTCTCATTATTTCGACAACAATAAGTCATACATGTATTAAAAAATTGTGCTAATTTAGGATCCATCGAAGCAAGGGCAAAAACACAATCATGCTTAGGATTAATAAACAAGTTAACCATATCAATCCAAATAATAACCCCATCACAATGACGACGATGCCCGTCGTTATTGAATAGATCCAACAAACTTCATCTCAGATTCTCAACCCTTCCACATTAGAATAAGGTTTCAATCCCTCTTGCAGAATCTATGCTACTAATACAGTAATATTAGCTTGAATAAAATTGTAAATTATAGAAAAGAGATTAAACACGTGACATGTTAATATGCTTATGCGAATCTAACCAAAATATTTATCGAGCTTCAAAATTTTATATGTAAATGTTAGTTAGGCTAGTTGATCAAAATAGTATTCTAACTCTTTTATATTTGAGTTCGATCCCCTCTTAAGAGCACTTCCACCAGTTAGCCCCTTGCCATGGCAAGGGGAGCCCTAGGGCGGGTACTATTCACGTGAATAGTGGCTGCCCTAGGGCAAAAAAAAATTTGTGTTTCCACAAATGCAAGGCTTGCCATGGCAAATACTATTCATTTTTTTGTTTTTTTTCACAACTTTGTTTACTTAAACAATTAATTTGGATAATATTTTCGGATAAGATTTTTGGGTTCCTATGTGTCAATACTATTTATATCGGATCAGATTTTCGGTTTCAAATTTTAGATAAATTTCATATAAATTTCAAATTTCAGATACATTTCAAAATTCAAATTTCAGATAAATTCAAAATGTCAAATTTCAGATACATTTCAAAATTCAAATTCCAGATAAATTTCAAATTTCATGTGAATTTCAAATTTCAGATAAGATTTTCACCCTCTAAAATTGTGCCACGTGTCATCTCTATCTGCCTAAATTTTTCTATAAATGCAGAGGCTCAGCTCATACCTCCCACACCATATCTTCTCTACATCTTCATTTCTCATATTTTAGATTTCATTTCTCAAATTTTAGATTTCATTCTCTATTCTCTCAATGTCGGACGACATGGAAGAGGTTTTGGAGAGGCAAGAGCGAGAAAGGCGAGCAAGAATGCGTAAAAGAGCTGCAAGCAAAAGGGCGCAGAGAGAACTAGATGAGCAACTTGGTGTGGCCATTGCTTTGCTGGAGGAAGAAAACCAGAGCCGCCGTGGTTCACGAGAAGGCCGGGCACCGAATGTGGACAGACATAGACATTCTCGGGGTAAGAATCTTATGGAAGATTATTTTATCCCACAATCTCTGTACTCTGATGTTCATTTTCGAGCAAGATATAGAATGCAACCTCATCTGTTCAATAAAGTCATGCATGATATTTGCAATTATGATGACTACTTTGTTCAAAAGAAAAATTGTGCTGGAGATTTGGGGTTGCTTCCCGAGCAAAAGTTCACAGCTGTGATACGAATGTTGGCGTATGGGTCATCTGCTGATCAGGTGGATGAGATTGCCCGGATGGGGAAGTCCACTATTTTGGAGAGCTTGGTGCGATTTTGTGATGCTGTGGAAAATCTGTACACCAGGGACTACCTGCGTTGACCTATGCCCAGGGACCTTCAACGGCTTCTACAAAAAGCTGAGTCTCGTGGATTTCCTGGAATGATTGGTAGTATTGACTGCATGCACTGGCAATGGAAAAATTGTCCATCTGCTTGGCAAGGGGATTATGGGAATCGGAAAGAGCAGAAAAGCATCATCCTCGAAGCAGTTGCTGGTTTTGATACATGGGTTTGGCACGCCTTCTTTGGAGTTGCCGGCTCTCAAAATGATTTGAACATCTTGGGTCAATCCCCGGTGTTCAATGATGTTCTGAGAGGTGAAGGCCCACCTATCACATATCAAATTAATAATACCGTCTACCAGAACGGGTATTATCTAGCTGATGGTATCTACCCGATGTGGACAACATTTGTGAAATCAATTCCACATCCCCGATCCCACAAGGAAAATTTTTTTGCTGCCTATCAAGAGGGGTACAGAAAAGATGTGGAGAGGTGCTTTGGTATCCTTCAAGCCCGGTGGGTAATTATCAGGGGAGCGGCACATCTATTTGATGAAGAGGTGCTTAGGAGTATAATGATGACTTGTATCATCCTCCACAATATGATTGTGGAAGATGAGTATGATTACGATGCTGCTGAAGATGAGTATGAACCAGATCCAATGAACACCGCCTTAACACGAATTTATGAAAAACCTATGGGGCCAAATGGAGAACCAGTGCAACATGATCCGTTAGTTAGAGACGATAGTTTCATGCATCGGATGATTGAGCGCTACACGGAGATGCAATCGTCATATATTCATGAACATCATCAAATGGACTTGATGGAGCATTTGTGGGCGGTGAAAGGCAATGAAGGACAATAAAGTAAAGTGAAGATGTGTTTTTAATGTATTATGTTTATGTTGTATTTTTAGTTATGCTTTGTTGTTTTTTTATGCTTTGGTTGTGGTTTGTTTATTTTTTATGCTTTGGTTGTGGTTTGTTTATTTTTTATGCTTTGGTTGTGGTTTGTTTATTTTTTATGCTTTGGTTGTGGGTGCTTTTTATGTATGGAATGTTTTGAATAAAAAGGAATGTTGTTGAATATTTTCTTCATTCACTAAAAGAAAACGAATACAACTCATAAAATAAAATACATGAATTACAACTACTTTTTTAAACAAAACAAAAAATACAATGAAATGAAAGGCAAGCAAACTAACTTAATGGTACAATGAAATGAAAGGCAAGCAAACTAACTTAATGGTTTTGATCATTTAACCAATCCGTGTTGCTAGGTCCATCGTCACGAAAAAGTCTTCGTCTCATAACATCCCTTCGTTCTAACTTCCAAAATTGTTTTGTTTCGGGGGACATATGGGTTGTATCCATAGCCATGGTTTCCCGATCATTTTTTTCAATCTTTCCTTGGCGTACATACTCCCTTTCTTTTGCATATTCTACTTCCATTGCCCTATCGTGCTCTTGTTGTTTCATATCCATTTCAATTCTCATGGCTTGCATCTTTGAAAGCTCCTCCAAATATTTAGATGTATTCTTGGTAGAATTACTCCCTCTCTTCGCCTTCGCTGCCTTCCTCCCAATAGGCCTCGGCTCTTTTTCCATAGGTGAGTCTTGACTCATCGGGGAATCCATAGGTGAATCCGATGTCGGTGTCTCATGGAGTGGTATCTCATTCAACACTATTGGCGGACCCGTTAGAATAATTTGGAATCTCTTACAATTCTTCACCACCTCCCAACATAGTGTATGGTTGAAACTTTTTTTCCCTTGCCCAGTAGCACCAAAAAACATTTGTGCTTGCATAATCTATACAAAAAAAAAGGTAAGGCAAGAAACTTTACAAAATATTGGCAATGCAACAAGTATAAAAAAAAATTAATGGAAACACAAGAAACTTTTAAAAATATTGGCAATGCAACAAGTATAAAAAAATACAAGAAATATTAACATAATATATAAATTGCAAGAAACATTTAAATAAAATTTAATATGACATAGAAATTAATAAATAAAAATATTACAAAAAATTTACCTCACTGCTAAGGTTTTCCCAGCTTCTATGGTTGTTCATCGCTTTTGTCAAGGCATCTCTCCATTTTCCCAACTCTTTATTAAGAATTTTCCACCTACTAGATAATGCTTGATCCGTACGGGTCGAACCAATTACCCTTTCACAAAATTCCTGATGAATTTTTTTCCACATATGACAGAATTTGATCTCATTGCCTGTTACGGGACAATGACTAACTTGGAGCCAAGCCTCACACAAGCTAATATCTTCCGTCATGCTCCATGTGTAACACCCCGACTCCAAATTTATCTCCTGTTTTAATTCATTTGAGCGAAATTAAGAATTTACCCGTGGGATAGGGGTATTTTAGTCATTTTCTTACCAGGAAGGAATTTGGGAATTCTGGATGTACCGTTGCGTAGAGCACGGCGAGATGAGTTCGTAGACACGTAGTGGGCTCGAATCGGAGCTGTAACGAAGAAGTTACGGGCAAAACATCACCAGTGGCAAAATCGTAAATATTTTGAAAGAGGTTTTTGGTTAAAAGACAGAACTGCCCCCGTCTCTCTCACTCTCTCTCTCCCGCGCGTCCCTCTTTCTCTCCTCTGGTTCGCGACTGCTGAAACAGCCGGCCACGTTTTGGCCGGCCGTGCTCTCGTCCGGCCACCAAAGTCGACGGGGCCGGTACCAAAATGATCGGGCCGCCGTCCTCTTCCTACCCCAGCCAGGTCCAGCCGCCGGCCGCCGTGATTTCGCCTGAAAACGAGGAGAAAAGCTCCGGTTTTGACAGGAACTTCGCCGGCTTCGTTCTCCGTCGTCCGGCCACCGATTTCGGCAAGTGAGGTATGGTTTCTCACCTATTTTCTGAGCTCTAGCTGCATGTTGGGTAGGAATTGATCAATTTGTAGCGTAAGTAGCTCGATCTACGAATTGAAATTCGGCCGGTTTTGGGATCGCGATTCCGGCCACTTCCGGTCAGATTTTGGGGTACGTCCAAGAACAAAAGTGACTCCAAATAGGGTGTTATACCTAGGGTAGGAGTCTTGAGCCATGATTCGGAGTTTTTCCGGCGATGGGTTATCGCTTTGGACACCCACGCGCTGCCAGCGCGTGTGGCGGCGCGTGGGCACTGTAGTCGAGGGGCATTTTTGTCTCAATGGGATCCTCAGGTTGTCATGAGCGCGTAGGTGTGCTCGGATCTCAATTTGGATATCGTTAGAGTCCCGAACGGATATCGCATATCGCGTATTTTCCGGGTTCGCTAGGTTTGGACCGTTGGATGGTCCTGAAGTTATTATATGTTGATCTAGGTATTACCAGGATCATATAGGATTCGACGGATCGTAAAACGGAGTCCCGGATACTCTGGAAATGCCAACCTTAGGGGTAAGGTTTAGTAACCGTCCGATCGTGTGATCGTGAGCCATCCGACCGTCCGATCTGAACCAAACTTGCAGGACATGTGTCCTAGAGCCTGTAGAACCTATAGGAACTTTCGGATCGGAATTTGGAGGTGGTGGGCCTCGCAGGCCCGTTTGACCCTAGGTTGACCGTGAGACTCCCGAGATAGTCTTACCTTTCCTTGAGGGTTAGGATGACCTTAGTGACAGGTCTTCAGCGTTGTTGAGTTGAATGGATATTGTGGGTTTATGATATAAATTGGTGAATTTAAATGAGGGAGTTTATGGAATGTTTTATTGGTTGATGTTATTGTAGGATTAGAAATTATATAGTAAATATTTAATTGTGTGGATGTATAATGATATATAAAGAGATTGAATGTTAGTTTACAGTGCTATACGCACTACCCCGACGTACCCCCCCCATATTGTGATTATGTTCAGGCCCAAGTAACAATGTGATGACTGGTGAGAATGTAGCCAGGCCCAAGTGACAATATGATGGCTGGTGAGAATGTAGCCAGGCCCAAGTGAACAATATGATGGCTGGTGAGAATGTAGCCAGGCCCAAGTGACAATGTGATGGCTGGTGAGAATGTAGCCAGGCCAAAGTGAACAGTATGATGGCTGGTGAGAATGTAGCCAGGCCCAAGTGAATAATGTGATGACTGGTGAGAATGTAGCCAGGCCAGGGCTGGTGAGAATGTAGCCAGGCCCAAGTGAACAATGTGATGACTAGTGAGAATGTAGCCAGGCCAGGGCTGGTGAGAATGTAGCCAGGCCCAAGTGAACAATGTGATGGCTGGTGAGAATGTAGCCAGGCCTGGGCTGGTGAGAATGTAGCCAGGCCCAGTGTGAGGTCGCACGCGTCTTTGGATTAGCTGGCGTGTTGACAGACCCCATACGTGGCCGGGTGCGTCCCGACGTATTCGGGGAGATATGATTGTGTGAGGGTTGGTGAGAATGTAGCCAGGCCCAGTGTGAGGTCGCACGCATCTTTGGATTAGCCGGCGTGTTGACAGACCCTATACGTGGCCGGGTGCGTCCCGACGTATGAGGGGAGATATGATTGTGTGAGGGCTGGTGAGAATGTAGCCAGACCCAGTGTGAGGTCGCACGCGTCTTTGGATTAGCCGGCGTGTTGACAGACCCCATACGTGGCCGGGTGCGTCCCGACGTATGAGGGGAGATATGATTGTGTGAGGGCTGGTGAGAATGTAGCCAGGCCCAAGGTTGAGGTCGCACGCGTCTTTGGATTAGCTGGCGTGTAGACAGACCCCATACGAGGCCGGGTGCGTCCCGTCGTATGAGGGGAGCTATGTGATTGTGTTTGGTGTGTTGTGATGGATAAACCCTAGAATGTATGAATTTATATGGATGTAATGGTTTATTTGATATTAGGAGCCAGGATTGATAGGAAAAAGCTACGTGTGGCTTGATCCCTTAGTAGGGTACGTAGGCAGCCTGAAGTTACTAGGTGCAGCCACGGATTAGACCCCACTTAGGTGGTCTTATTGAGATTGGTTCGGACCTCGTTGTTGGTCCCGACACTTGGTTGAATTGAGGATTGTCCGGTGGACTGAGTGAGTGAAGGTGTGCACAGATAGATTTTGAATTTGTTATATGCATGTTTGATGCATTAAGTTATTTTAAAAACAGTGTGGGCAGTTCTGTTAGAATCATTTGAAGGCCAGAGGCCATTTATGTAAATTGCATGAGATTATATTGTGCGTGCTGCTGGTTGGGTTATAAAATGTGTTTTATGCAGGTGGAAATTTTGGGGAATGTTCAATTTACAGGGGAGACTCTGCCGAAATTTCGGTAGAAAGTCTCGTGCCCTTAATCCTCTTTGGTAAAAGAGGACATAGTTTTAAGGAGTGAACCCGGCATGGGTGTGATGCCGAGGTCTCCGCAGGATTCGTCTCAGGTTCTGGGAAATTCGGGGTGGGTCCTGTCACCATGCCCCTCCTCCGGTTTCACTAGAAGAACCCATAATATGATAGACAAAAAAACAACTTGAAAGTGAAAAAAATTTCACTAGAAAGTGAAAAAGAGTAGAATGAGAAGAAAATGTATGAAGAGTTGGTGTTAAAAGTGAAGAGTATGGGTTGGTATTTATAAAAAAAAAAAAATTCAGTATTTTTTTCGTATTTTTTTAAATTTTTTCCGATTTTTTTTCTTTTTTTTTGGGCAAAAAATTTGGACCCCTTGAATAATCCAAGATGAGTCGCATTGACTGCGCATGTTCAGGGTTGGGCCTGCTGCCTCTAAAGAAGCCCAACATGAATAACTCAAAAGGGTATTAAACAAATAAAAAAAATATAACACAAAGATGTTATAGAAAATTAGTTAAATATCCATTCCTAGACATGGTTCTATAAAGAAACCCAATACCATTCACTGTATATAAACACACCCAAGAAAAAAACAACCAAAACTAACAGCTATTACAATTTTTTAGTTTAATTAGTTAAATCAAATACCTTTATTATCCTTTTAGTATTAAATTAGTTTTTTTTGAAAAGGAAGTACCAAAAATAAGAAACCATAGGAAATTTCAGGAAGACAATAAAATGAATGGGCCTAAACAAGTGGCCTCTACGACCTCCCCTCTTAAAAGAACCTAAAACCTAGTTAGAATGGGCCTAAACAAGTGGCCTCTACGACCTCCCCTCTTAAAGAACCTAAAACCTAGTTAGAATGGGCCTAAACAAGTGGCCTTACACGAAGACTTGATTTCCAAGTCAGTTCCTAACTAGAAAAGCTAATTAAAACTAAGTTTCCTAAAACCTCCAAGAAACTGCACGTGATCCTCATTGCGAATGTGATTTAGACATGTTTCTGACCTCCAAAAATTACATACGACCACTATTTGGAAAGCTCTGGATGTCTTCGTTTCAGCCATATATCATGTGCCTCAATCCGATGTCGTATGAGTGAGTTGTAGCCAAAATACCCCTGCTGACTCAGTATTCTCCGGGAATTGATTTATGCTGAATTGTCTAATTAAAAATGGGCACCTTAGCAGTCTTCAAAAATTATGAAAATATTCATGGATAAACTTCAAGATGCTGTCTCCCATCTCCAATTGGAATCATGTCGAACTCTATTACAATGAATATTTGGCGAATTTATTCATTCCATGGCTCATAAGCTGAAAAACAGGAAATAACTCAACTCAGCATCTTTAGTCCAAATTAATTCACAAAACTAAGTAAAAAGGATATAAAATCATGTGAAATTATGAACACATCAATGAGTTTTCAAACAAAATGCAGGTGGCCATTGCCACAGATCAAGTGTGAGTTTGATTCTTGTTAGATGATGTCTACTGCCATTGCTATCATGAAGTTTTTGCATAGGTTACGCTGTAGGTTTGGCAGCACTATTACGAGTGAATGAGTTGGAGGCTGTGTAAAAGTCAATTGTAGATTTGGCAGCACTATTATGTGTTTCGTTAATACTCTATAGAGTTTGTACTTGGAATTGACTATGATTGGTATAGTTTTCAATGAAATGGTTCTTTCTTTCAATAATTAGTCATTCAAGATGGCGCGCAGAACATGCTGTAATTATTCTTTAAAGGCGCGCAAAGCGTGTCGTAATTGCTTCACCTGAACTACGGCTCACAGGGAACATCGTCTTAAGTTTTTATAATAACGACGTTCATGCACACCATGATTGAGGACCACTATTTATGATGAGGGCTTTTATTGCTTGCGTGTTTCACGTCGTGATTGATAATTCACCACTACCTGCAGTGCTGCTTAATTATTAGCAGTATTGAGATAGAACTATAAAACCTTGACCAACACTACCTGCTGCTCAATTCCACATCCTCTCTGAATCTAAATCATGAACACTCCAATTGCAATTTTCCTTGTATCCTTTTTCATTTTTCTTGTCAACTTGATCAGGTTGAAAACCAGCAATAGAAACAAAGGAGTCTCTCTCCCCCCCGGCCCGACCCCATGGCCAATTTTTGGTTGTGTACTAGAAATGTGGAGGAACAGGCCAGCATATAAATGGACGCATAGGGTTTTGAAAGAACTCAACACTGACATAGCATGCATAAAATTATGAAATGTTCATGTCATCCCAGTGATATCACCAGAAATTGCCAGGGAGTTTCTAAAGAAAAATGATGCAGTTTTTGCATCAAGACCTGTCACAATGGCAACTGATATTTTAAGCAGTGGGTTCCTGACCACAACTGTTGTGCCTTGGGGAGGCCAGTGGAAAAAAATGAGAAAAGTTTTGATTGCTGATGTGTTCAATCATTCTAGGGTTCAATGGCTACTTGGTAAGAGAAACGAAGAAGCTGATAACCTTGTTAAGTTCCTATACAATCAGTGCTCGTCCAATCCGAACGGTTCGGTGGTGAATGTGAGAACTGCAGCTCAATTTTACACAGGAAATGTGATGAGAAGGATGATTTTCAACACGAGGTACTTTGGCAAAGGTAGAAAGGACAGAGGGCCTGGCTTTGAAGAAGAGCAACACGTCTCTGCGCTTTTGACTATACTCATGCATATGTACGCTTTCTGCGTATCGGATTATCTTCCATGGCTGAGAGTGTTTGACATAAGTGGCCATGAGAAAAAGGTGAGGGGTGCTTTGAAGATCATCAAGCAATATCAAGACCCTCTTATAGACGAGAGGTTGAAAGAATGGAGAGATGGAAGGACGAAGGAGCCTGAGGACCTGCTTGATGTTTTCATTTCACTCAAAGATGCAAATGGACAGCCCTTATTGTCAGGTGAAGAAATCAAAGCTCAAATCACGGTGAGATATTCTTACTTACCACTAATTTTTTCAAGTAGTATGGATCCTTAATTTGTTGATGTTTTTATGTTTATTTTTATTCATGCAATATTAAAAGGAATGGAGATTCAAAACAGGACTTCCGTTGCATGATAAGTGTTTTTAATCACTTGAGTTATAAGCCGCTTGCTAATTTGTCAATGTTTAATGAGCTAAAGTTGTGTTATGAATATTAAACTCTAAACTCAAAACGCTAAACTTGAGCAACAAGGAGCGCTGAAAAGAAAAGCAGATGATCCTATTTCTGAATTTTTCATGTACAAAGCAAGAAACCAACTTACATACATGTTGTTGTGCGTGATCAGGAACTGCAGCTTGCAACAGTGGATAATCCGTCCAATGCAGCAGAGTGGGCTCTATCAGAAATGCTCAACCAGCCTGAGCTGCTAAAAAAGGCAGAAGAAGAACTAGATAGGGTAGTTGGAAAGCAGAGGCTTGTTCAAGAGTCTGATGTCCCCAAGCTCCCTTACGTAAGGGCTTGTGCAAGAGAAGCACTTAGGCTGCATCCAGTTGCACCATTCAACCTCCCCCACGTGTCCAACACAGATGCTGTAGTAGCAGGCTACTTCATCCCAAAAAGGAGCAGTGTTCTGCTAAGCCGCTTAGGTCTCGGGCGCAACCCGGAAGTGTGGGAAAACCCGCTGAGATTCGACCCAGAACGACATCTAAAAGGAGATGCTGATCAACAAGTGGATCTGGAAGAGCATGAGCTGAGGTTCATTACATTCTCTACTGGACGGAGAGGATGCATTGGGGGTGGGATTGGGACTACCATAACTGTCATGCTCCTAGCAAGGCTTTTGCAAGGGTTTACTTGGAGCTTGCCCCCCAATGTGGACAAGATTGACCTCACTGAGGCTCTCTCCCTCCTCTTCAAGGCCAACCCTTTGCTTGCACATGCTAAACCTCGCTTGCCTGTTTCTCTCTACATGGTTTAGTTTCACCCCCAAGTGTAGTCAGATTCCAGCTCTACCAACTGGGAATGGATAAATAAAAATAAGGAAAACTTTGTGCTTTGAATAGTTCTCATCTTCAAGGAAGTGGGAGATTTCAACAAAGTATAAGAAAAATATACCAAGACTAATGCAATGTATAGGCTTTACATCAAAAGCCTATCTTATGGGATGAGCTGAAAATGGTCGCCGATCAAATTGCAAATATGATAAATTAATTGACTAGACTCTGGATCATTCAATCCATTACAGAATTCTATTAATTAAAATTGGAGCCAAGCATATTGATTGCCAATTTGCCATCGCCAACAAATAGTAGAGAAACTCTTGTGTAACATGTTGCATGCTTCTTTTTTTCTCTCTCTCTCATCACATGATTAATCATGTGATGAGAAAGATAAGAGAAACAGATAGAAAACAAGATCTCCCAGGGTATTTAAGATACAAAATTGTGTGTGATGATAACGCTGTGTTCCATGCCGACACTTATCAACATACTGTAAACATGAACATTATTCTTGTGATTCTTTGTTTATCTACGTCTATTTAGAGCACCTTGTAAGACAATATTTATTGTCTTAGTTCTGGAAATATATCTTCTAATCCTAAAAGGACTCGAGTGTTTTAATTGATTATGTAATAGAACTCAAGCTTTTGGAATAACCACTTGTACATAGCTTATTAAAGTAATACACTAGTGTTAATTCCTAATACAATATGAATTGAAACAAACCTAGTCTAATGCAAACAGAACACTTGAAAGCTTCTTGATAGGCAAGGCATTCAAGTGATGCATGTATATATAGGGGTCCTTTCCCTTGCAGCAAGACATACTCAAAAACATACTCTCACCCTATCAAGAAAAGGAATTAAAGAGCTGCATAGGAGAAGTTCCTATATAGTTGTCATGGTTGAGCAAGGTTAGTATTTTGGAATAAAAGCCTAGTAAGGATTTACACAACTTCCATAACATTGGCCAAAAAATAAAAGTAAATATAAAAAAAACAAAAAGAGGCCAAAAACCTCTCCCGACGAAATTCCCTTGGCACAGGTCTATCCCCGCAAAATTTGCAGAATTAGGCTTCCCCCGATGAAATTTCATCTTTCGTGGGGGCAAATCTAATCTAGCAAAGCTTCGCCGGGATATACCTGTGCCGACGAAACTTCGTCGGGAGAGATTTTATTTAAAATAAAATAGAAAATTTTATTTTAAAGTTTCTTTTTAGTAATTAAATAATATCTCAGACTTATTTAATTACTTTCATCTGTAATTCTGTTTTAATTATTATTTCTTTAATGAATAATTAAATATTTTAATTAACTTAATAAATGGTAATTATTATTTTAAAATTTTTTATTTCCATTTAATCAAATATTTAAATACTAATTATTCACTAGTGGTGCGTTTGGATATGAGAAATAAACTTGGGATTTTGAAAAAACTCAGAATTTCTAAATTGACATGAATCAATTCTGGTGTTTGGATAAAAAAACATAGAAATTTAGAAATTCCGAGTGGAAAAAAGCATGGAATTTGGAGATCACAAATCCCAAGTTTAAATTCTATCTAAAAGTCGTGATTTCTAAAATCCCAAGAGAGATTGAGTTTTAAAAAAAGATAACTTTACAAATAAAGGTTAAATTCCGTGTTTTAAATCAGTCACCCAAACTAGAAACTTTACAAATTCTAGAACATATTAATTTCCATCATTTATGAAATCTTTTGTACTTTTAAATTTCCTCATCCAAATGCATTGTAAGTAAATAGTAATTAAAACATAACTACTAAGTAAAGTAATTAAAAAGATAAATCAAGATTATGCTATTCAAAGGTAAAACGAATTTAAACTCTAATTCTTATACTGAGCATGTTATGGTCCGATTCCTTACTCTGATTTCTGTTTGGCTGAACTTGACTGGAATCAAAGGTTTATCTGAGGCTGAAGTTGATAAGATATGGGAAGCTGCTGAAAACCATTTCAGCTCAGAGATTTTATATCTCATATGTGTTCTTTGGTTGTAAGCCTTTATGTTGCTGAAATGTTCAGAGACAAATTCAACTTGTTATTCATAGTTTGATAGATATTCAACTTGTTATTCAACTTCTTGCCGAAATGTTCATCTAATGGCAGAGGAAACACTTCGGAGACAAATTCAACTTGTTATTCGTAGTTTGAGAGAGGTAAAATCTTGCTTAAATGTTCCAATTCATATAAGACTCAAAAAGTTATGTATTTTATATTAGGAACTTGTAGTTTCATGTTTAACTTCATCAATTTTTTTTGTTTATCAGGCTCTAGATGGCGCTGATGGGTTCCAGAAATACCCATCAAATGCAACAATTTCAATGTGCAGAATTTAGTGTTGATCAGGTAACTTTCATGTACATTTTTCTTTCTTATATTACTTGTTGTTATCGTTGTTAAGGGATTTAGTGCCTTTCTCTTTCTAGTGAGTTATGGCTATAAGGCTGAACATATATATGTTTATATTTAAATATATAATTATAATATTTATGTTTAACCCTAAGTTAACTTCGCTCTCCTAATTCTTTCTAATCTTCTTTGGAATTTCATATTGATGTGATTTTGAATAGTTGAGTTGAACTTTATAGTTAATTTGGATGTGTTGAATGATAATTTAATATAAAACTTAATGTTAAAATGTATGATAAATATTTTTTATGCAAAAAAAAAGGGGGATTCAGGGCGGGTATAGGGGATAATCCCCCAACGGGGATGGGGATTCCCCGAAACCTATTAAACAGGGATGAGTTCGGGGACGGGGAAGGGGATGGAGAGCAGAGTCGGGGATGGTATTGTCATACCCTGCCCCTACTCGACCCATTGCCATCCCTAGCTATTATACATGTCGCGTGTAGGTATTAGGTTCGCCTCACATAAATGAGAGTTTGATGCCGATTTGTGGTGAGTTTGTTATAGCGTGACTTTGTTGTGGATGAGTAATTAATCCTTTTGTTAAAGTGAAAATCCACTCATCCACATGCTAAATCAAAGAAAAAAAAATGATTAAAAAGTAAAAAAATTATGTACGTACAATATTAGTTAAACATGTTTATCATGCCATAATCAGAAATTTGCATTAGAAAAATAAGTTGCGTTATTTTTGCTATCGTGTTAAATAACAGTCAAGTATTAGTCTCTAGTTAAATAATAGTCAACTAGCTTCTCTGCACGCGCTTCCGCGTACACAAGACGCTATTTTTTTATTATTTTAGAATTAAAAAAAGATAGTGTTCCCTAAAAATAGGATCTATTATCTGATTTTTCTTTTATTTTTTTTTAGTATGAAAAAGTGTGAATTTATCATATTATCCTCATTTAATTAATAATTTCAATTCTTAATGTTTGCATTAATTAAGGGCATTTTCTGGTATTTTGAATGTTTTACTATTCTCTGCCTTTTGCTTTATATATACTAGCCTCTCCGCACGCGCTTCCGCACTTGCGAGAGACCTTTTTTTAAAAAAAAGAATGAAATTTATTTTAGAATTAAAAAAGATAATGTGTGTTGTATTCTATAAAAATAGGATTCACTATCTGAATTTTCTTTTAATTTTATTTTTTGTAATATGAAAAAGTGTGAATTTACCATATTATCCTCATTTAATTAATAATTTTAATTCTTAATGTTTGGATTAATCAAGAGCATTTTCTAGTATTTTGAATGTTTCACCGCTCTGCCTTTTGCTTTATATATATATATATAGATATATATATTTTAATTTAATAATTTCATATTCAAATTTATATTCTTTTCCATATCATTTTGTTTTGAAAATGGTCAATCCTAACTGAATTGAGACCTTATCATCCACATTCTAATCATTTTTTCAAAATCATGGCAAGGAACATCTACTTCTATCCTATATTACAATAAGGCACAGATTTATTCATTTACAAGGAAATTTATTAGATAAGCAATTTTAATTTTTTAACTTTACAAATTCTAACTACTTTAATATATGAGGAGAAGAATCGAACTGGGTGTAAAGCGACAAACATATTATCTTGACCTACTAACTTAATCCACATCTGTGCCAAACAAAATTTTCACATATTGAGAAATATATATGTGAATTCAATTTACATGAAATTTCACGACACCATTTAACCCTCACTAATTATACAGGGAGCAGATGCAGGGTTCCAATTCACAAAGTTAATTCCTCACAATAATATCTGTGCTCGAGCCTACGGAATCATAGCCAAAAACAACATGACATATCAATTTATAAATCAAAAGGGAAAGGGACCAAGGATATCACAAAATTAAAAGATGCCCCCACATTGTTAATGCAACATCTGAAAAAGATGCCCTTTTGTGGTCCAAACCCCTCCTAAGTCTCAGACAACAATGATATCATACCCATCAAGCTTTTAATTCAAGGAGTTCAAACATCCATCCTTATAATGACACTTAAGGGTCTTACAAAGTAGAGAAAAAAAAATAAAGCCCACCATCATCCATCATGGTCATAGACTTAGTCTCATATATGCATGTTATATATATGTGTTTGATATATGGTCCCGCCCCAATTGGGTTGCCTTTTTTTTGTTTGTGAGTATTATTGCATTTAACTTTCGGGCTGTTTCTATAAGAAGCACTTCTGTTTATAAAAACGTCGAAATTTTTTTAATCCAAATGCTTTCATACTTGGAAGTGCTTCATTATGACCCATAACCACCTCTAAATTTCTCCGCTAAATGCAATTCGAAACGTTTTTTTATTGTTAAATACACTTTCAACCATTTCAGAGCCCACCATAAGAGAGAAATTCATGAAATGCATATGGTGGGGCTCCTCTGCTTTCATGTTTTCATTCCCAACTGGCATTGGATTTCTTGCATTGCCATTATATTCCTGCCTTCTGTTTGCTTCTGCATGCCAAATTAAATATCTCTTTCCAAACATTAAATTTGGTTTTGTAACTTAGAATGTGGAAGTCACATGTGATCCGAGGGCAAATAGGAATGTCTGCTAGTCTTTTCCTTCTTCATATATTTCATCATCATCCCAAGCTCGAATCCTCTGCACTCAACCTCAGGAATTTTGGATTATAAACTAATAGGCACACGACACGTGGCCGGGCACATGCATATCTAACACCCACAAGCATAACCTGTGCTTTGTCTGCGGACCCAGGTAGCACTTACTGGGGTTAAAGTTAAAATAGTTTACCTAAAAACGTTTTGATTTGATCCGCTTGTATTTCTCCGACTGTATCTTATATAGCTAGCTAGTACACGTGCACAGTAAAATTATTAGACATAACTTTACCTGGTAACATATGTACCCTCAAGGAAGCTTTCACTTCGTACGAACAGTGGTGGAAATTAATTATGCTTCCTGGCCAAGTCTTCTCCATAATGAATTTCACTATTATTTTGTCGAAATTGTTCGTCACACATGTTTGGTGTACTTGGACTGTACTATTACTTAGGGTTAAATGTACTCATTAATTTTTTCTCCTTGTATTTTATTCGATTCGCCGATTTAATTATGTATTTTTAATCTATCCAATTTAGTCATTGAGTGTGTCTATATAAGCTAACGCAGGACATTCCGTCTGCAATGTAATATTATGATCCAAACCGTTTATTTTTTATATTCTTCTAGTCGATCATTATTATACATGACTCTAAAATTAATTAGTTTTCAATTTAAGTGGCCATTAAAATGTCACGCATATAGCTTTCAGACAGTAACCAGTATCTAATTTATCTATTTATTTAGTTTTTGAAATGTTATTAATGTCGGCAAAATTCCTAAAGCTGCATATTCTGAAATACGAAACACATGAACATGTATATATATATGGACACCTGAATACTTAAATCTGAATTGACATCTAATAGAACAATGAACAACACCCACACAAATGAATAAATTTTTTTGTAAAATGGAAGCATCAAATTTCAACAACAAATAATGACAAAAGTATATAAACATAATACGTATTCGAATGTCGCATCCAAACAAAGCCTTGGTTAAAGGGACACATGACCAGCTTTAAGAATCTATCCATTTGGTCCATACATGGCAACACAAATGTTGCAGAAGGATGGATGGCGTTATTTGTGAAAGAGCAAAGTTGGGAGGCCCAAGACATATGAGTTCTCAGGCAATGTCACATTCCAGCCACCTAATGGGAAAGAGAGATAAGGAACAACAAGATAGCGACCCTTCCATTCTCTAGCCTTCCTTTCCTTCATTGTGCCACAACAGACAATTCAACAACGCAGCTGCTAGAGAGAGAGAGAGAGAGAGAGAGAGAGAGATATCATCAATTATAATATGAAGACACCAAGCCTATAGCCAATCGAAGCCAGTATCGTTATTTACTTAAAGAGAATTAGGGTTTCTCAGGATGGTGACCCATTTGTTGGTGGGCAATAATCAGATTTGGACTCATTTGTAGTCACATGTTGTATGCCTCTAAGAGTGGCCGTTGAAAGAAATTGATGTAAGGAGGCACTGACGGACACTGGCGGACCTACAGAGGCGCAAATAATCATTGACTAGACCAAATGATTATTGATGAATTTTTCAAATTTAAAATATTTTTAGAAACTCTAATAGAAATTGTATGGTACATATTCAATCAAGATTAACCATATATTTGACTATACCATATAGAATTTAGATCGAGTCTTTCAAGTTATGAATTGACTAGAGTACTACTTGGATTTAACTAATTTTCATCCAAATTTCGCCCAACTTTAGATTGACTATAAGCCCATCATTTCACGTCAAAAATCATAGAGCTGGTTGTAGAGGGTTTCGGCAAATGCGTTCATATCAAATAAAGATGTACATGTCTCCTTTAGAGTTATGAGACGTCGCATGCGACGTTGCCACATCAAGAGGCAAAGGAAAAGGGCAATAGGCTTGGGTTCGCATCAGATATGAATTATCTACTTTATAAGGGGCATGATATAAGTGGTGCAGTTGCATTTAACCCACGTGGTCCCCCTCCCAAAGTCCTCCATGACTATGACTTTAATGGCAAAGAAGAAGCTTATGCCAATGAAGGGTTGCTGTTATTGTTGTTATTAGGGTTAGGGAAGATGTGGGTTTCTAGCGGCATGTTGAGTTGGTGGTGGTCCACCTTGAGATTGGTGCTAATAATATCCATCACAAATCAAAGAGCTTGATACTTCCATTGAAATTACGAGATATCGAAACCCAAAAAGTTGTGTATACATGTGAGACCAAGAGAGATAATTATATAGGTGTCCATCTCAAGTTTCCCATCATATTTATGGAGAAGTTAGCTGATGGCTTAGCTAATTTGCATTTGGTTTGGGAAATTTTCTTTTTTGTTTACCATAAAGTTATGTTTGATATGCATGTATGGTTATAAAATAGAGTTTGTATTTGAAATATGATTGGTATAGTTTTCAATGAAATGGTTCTTTCTTTCAAGTTTGGTAGCAATACTACTTTTCATTTTGTGAAATCATGTATCCAGGGTGCATTGAACTTCTTAAGTGGGAATTAATTACTCTTTTACGGCATAATTAGTCATTTAAGATGGTGTGCGGAACATACCGTAATTATTCTTTTAAGGCGCACAAAGCATGTCGTAATTGCTTCAACTGAACTATGGCTAATAAGGAATGTCATCTTAAGATTTTATAACGACATTCATGCACGCCGTGATTGAGGACCACTATGTATGATGAGGGCTTTTACTGCTTGCCTGTTTTGCGTCGTGATTGATAATTCACCACTACCTGCAGTACTGCATAATTATTAGTAGTATTGAATAGAACAATAAAACCTTGCCTAACACTACCTGCTGCTCAATTCCACATCCTCTCTGAATCTAAATCATGAACACTCCAATTGCAATTTTCCTTGTATCCTTTTTCATCTTTCTTGTCAACTTGATCAGGTTGAGAAACAGCAATAGAAACAAAGGAGTCTCTCTCCCCCCAGGCCCGACCCCATGGCCAATTGTTGGTTGTGTACCAGAAATGTGGAGGAACAGGCCCGCATATAAATGGGTGCATAGGGTCTTGAAAGAACTCGACACTGACATTGCATGCATAAAATTAGGAAATGTTCATGTCATCCCAGTGAAATCACCAGAAATTGCCAGGGAGTTTTTGAAGAAAAATGATGCAGTTTTTGCACCAAGACCTGTCACAATGGCAACTGATATTTTAAGCAGTGGGTTCTTGACCACAGGTGTTGTGCCTTGGGGAGGCCAGTGGAAAAAAATGAGAAAAGTTTTGATTGCTGATGTGTTCAATCATTCTATGGTTCAATGGCTACTTGGTAAGAGAAACGAAGAAGCTGATAACCTTGTTAAGTTCCTATACAATCAGTGCTCGTCCAATCCGAACGGTTTGGTGGTGAATGTGAGAACTGCAGCTCAATTTTACTCAGGAGGTGTGATGAGAAGGATGATTTTCAACACGAGGTACTTTGGCAAAGGGAGAAAGGATGGAGGGCCTGGCTTTGAAGAAGAGCAACACGTCTCTGCGCTTTTGACTATACTCTTGCATGTGTACGCTTTCTGCGTATCGGATTATCTTCCATGGCTTAGAGTGTTTGACATAAGTGGTCATGAGAAAAAGGTGAGGGGTGCTTTGAAGATCATCAAGCAATATCAAGACCCTCTTATAGATGAGAGGTTGAAAGAATGGAGAGATGGAAGGACGAAGGAGCCTGAGGACCTGCTTGATGTTTTCATTTCACTCAAAGATGCATATGGACAGCCCTTATTGTCAGGTGAAGAAATTAAAGCTCAAATCACGGTGAGATATTCTAACTTACCACTAATTTTTTCAAGTAGTATGGATCCTTAATTTGTTGATGTTTTTATGTTTATTTTTATTCATGCGATATTAAAGGAATGGAGATTCAAAACAGGACTTCCTTTGCATGATAAATGCTTTTAATCACTTCAGCTAAGTTGTGCTCAGAGGCGGACGCACGTTGGGACAAGAGGGGTCTAACGACCCCTTGGAATGCCTGAAATTTGGTTGTGGACTCCATGGACGACCCCTTAGACAGCTGCGGAGCGACCCCTTGTGTGCACACCAGGTGCTCGATGAAAGTCCCAGCTTGTCTCTGAGTCTGTGATGGCTCTGTTCCATGAAGCAGAGACCGAACGCACCAGAGTTTGGTAGGGGTAGGGTAGTGGAGCCTCCTTTAATAAGGTTTTCTGAGTTGCAGAGGAGGCACTGTGAGCCTAGCGAAGAAGATGATGTTTGGCTTGTCTCGGTGCCCGTGCCCTTGTAAACGAAACACACCGTTTTGTGATTAGCCTCCTTTAGTGAAACGGTGGGTTTAGTGTTCAACATTTGGCTGCCACTTGTCATTGTCGATGGGTTTAATGGGCTAGTTTTTGTTTTATCAGTTTTATGAGGTTTGGCTTCATGGTAATGGGTGAATTATTTATAAACTTTATCCTATGGGCCAATATAATATAATAGAAGATTACAAACAAAAAAACTATTTTAACAGTCAATATAAATATATAGAAATTTATAAAAATTTCAGTAATGTTTTAATTCGATAATGCAACAATAATTGAGGAATTTAAAACTTCTAATCTAACCTTTGCATGATAAAATTTTAAATTCAAATAGTGTTAATTTGTTTTGTATTTTATTGTATTTCATTTACTTGTGATTTTTATTTTTTTAGAAAAACAAAGCAACATCAGCTCTTGAAATAATAGATAAGAAAAAGGAAAAACTCTGTAAATTTTTTTTTTTGGAACATTTACACTATGACCCCTTGGGTTACGGATCCTGCATCCGCCACTGGTTGTGCTTATGATATTAAACTCTAAACTCAAAAGGCTGAACTTGAGCAACGAGGAGCGCTGAAAAGAAAAGCAGATGATCCTATTTCTGAATTTTTCATTTACAAAGTAAGAAACCAACTTACATACATGTTGGTGTGCGTGATCAGGAACTGCAGCTTGCAACAGTGGATAATCCGTTCAATGCAGCAGAGTGGGCTCTATCAGAAATGCTCAACCAGCCTGAGCTGCTAAAAAAGGCAGAAGAAGAACTAGATAGGGTAGTTGGAAAGCAGAGGTTTGTTCAAGAGTCTGATGTCCCCAAGCTCCCTTACGTAAGGGCTTGTGCAAGAGAAGCACTTAGGCTGCATCCAGTTGCACCATTCAACCTCCCCCACATGTCCAACACAGACGCTGTAGTAGCAGGCTACTTCATCCCAAAAGGGAGCAGTGTTCTGCTAAGCCGCTTAGGTCTCGGGCGCAACCCAGAAGTGTGGGATAACCCGCTGAGATTCGACCCGGAACGACATCTAAAAGGAGATGCTGATCAACAAGTGGATCTGGAAGAGCATGAGCTGAGGTTCATTACATTCTCTACTGGACGGAGAGGATGCATGGGGGGTGGGCTTGGGACTACCATAACTATCATGCTCCTAGCAAGGCTTTTGCAAGGGTTTACTTGGAACATGCCACCCAATGTGGACAAGATTGACCTCACTGAGGCTCTCTCCCTCTTCAAGGCCAACCCTTTGTTTGCACATGCTAAACCTCGCTTGCCTGTTTCTCTCTACATGGTTTAGTTTCACCCCAAGTGTAGTCAGATTCCAACTCTACCAACTGGGAATGGATAAATAAAAATAAGGAAAACTTTGTGCTTTGAATAGTTTTCGTCTTCAAGGAAGTGGGAGATTTCAACGAAGTATAATAAAAATATTACAAATTTATAAATAAACCCAATCCTAGACATGTATTTATAAAAAAACCCAGACACTATTTAAACATAGAAACACACCCAAAATCAACCATAAAATCAACAATTGTATATTTTTTGGGTGTGTTTATAAATGGGTTTTGAGTGTGTGTAATGATGGGTTTTGGGTGTGTTTATAAAGTGTTTTGGGTATTGGGTTTTTTTTATAATTTCAGCCCCCATTTTGGGTGTTTTAGTGCAAATGGACTAATGCAATGTATTAGTAGAGCTCAAAGCTTTATAGAATTATAGGCTTACATCCTAAGAAGCATGGATACGCCAATTTAGTGGCGTATCCCATATCGGATCCAAACGATACGCTTCGGATACGGTCCGATACGCATTGGATACATATCGCAGTCAACGGATACATCAGTTGACTAACGGATACGAGTATCCGACATTCCAGACACGAGTATCTGACTTTTCGGATACGAACCTCCGGGCGATGTTTGCCGTTGAGGAGCCCCTGGGTGCTGCGTGTGAAGAGGGAGGGAGGGGGAAGAAGAAGAAGAAGATGTCAGACTGGAGGGAGGTAGAGAGGGAGGGAGAGAGAGAGAAGAAGAAGATGTCAGACTGCAGGGGGAGAGAGACAGAGAGGGAGAGAAGAAGAAGATGTCAGACTGATCTCTAGTGACCACGTCGTTTGCTAAAACAGGATTTGTAATATATATATATATATATTTTCATAGATTTGTTTATGGGTTTGGGTCTTAAACAAATGGGCTTTGGGTAATGATATATTTGGGTGGAAAAAGCTATAGATGCCTAAAATATAAAGAATCAGAAAAGAAAGCCCAAAATGCTACACTATATTTATAATTTATAATCTATTTAAAATATATTTTAGGTTATATATATTATTAATATATATTTATAATAGCCGTATCCATGACGTATCGTATCCTAATTTTTGAAAATTTGCCGTATCCCCGTGTCGTGTTGTATCACCGTATCCGTATCCGTGTCCGTGCTTCTTAGCTTACATCAAAAGCCTATCTTATGAGATGAGCTGTTTTTTTTTTTTTTTTTTTTTTTTTTTTTTTTTTTTTTTTTTTTTTTTTTTTTTTTTTTTTTTTTTTTTTTTTTTTTTTTTTTTTTTTTTTTTTTTTTTTTTTTTTTTTTTTTTTTTTTTTTTTTTTTTTTTTTTTTTTTTTTAAAAAAAGGGGGGGGCCCCCCCCCCTTTTTTTTTTTTTTTTTTTTTTTTTTTTTTTTTTTTTTTTTTTTTTTTTTTTTTTTTTTTTTTTCCCCCCCCCTTTTTTTTTTTTTTTTTTTTTTTTTTTTCCCCCCCCCCCCCCCCCCCCCCTTTTTTTTTTTTTTTTTTTTTTTTTTTTTTTTTAAAAAAAAAAAAAAAAAAAAAAAAAAACTTTTTTTCTTCAAATGGTCGCCGATCAAATTGCAAATATGATAAATTAATTGACTAGACTCTGGATCATTCAATCCATGACAGAATTCTATTAATTGAAATTGGAGCCAAGCATATTGATTGCCATCGCCAACAAATAGTAGAGAAACTCTAGTGTAACATGTTGTATGCTTCTTTTCTCTATCTCTCATCACATGATTAATCATGCGATGAGAAAGATAAGAGAAACGGATAGAAAACAAGATCTCCCAAAGTATTTAAAATACAAAATTGTGTGTGAAGATAACAATGTATTCCATGCCAACACTTATCAACATATTGTAAACATGAATTATTCTTGTGATTCTTCATTTAGTCCTGAAAATATGATATTCTAATCCTAAGAGGACTCAAGTGTTTTAATTGATTATGGAATAGAACTCAAGCTTTTCGTATAACCACCTATACAAAGCTTATTAAAGTAAAACACAAGTGTTAATAGAATTCCTAATACAATATGGATTGAAACAAACCTAGTCTAATGCAAAGCTTCTTGATAGGCAAGGTATTCGAGTGATGCATGTATAGATAGGGGTCCCTTCCTTTGCAGCAAAATGTACTCAAAAACAGACTCTCACCGTATTTAGAGAAAAGAGAATTAAAAAGCTGCCTAAGAGAAGAAGATCCTCTATAATTGTCATGGATAAGCAAGGTTAACATCGGGCCAAGGCCAGTAGGCGATTTAGGTCCGAGTAAGTTTTGGGCATGGTTCTCATCTCAAATGGATCATGACTGAACCAAAGTTAGAAAGGGGATCCCCCCTGAGTTATCACGTTACTAGTTTTATATCTTAATTGACATCATATGGTCAACAAAAAAAGTGACCAATGACTCAAGCATAAACAAACGTTATGATATTTACAAATGTACTTTTTAAGAGGATAACACATAAATAATAGTTGCACTTATCACAAGTATACATCATCCTCACATCCATATGAATTGAATTTGATACATTCTCTCCAACCAAGTGGAGGCATCAAGATTAGTCGGTAAGCATTTCACCAAAAAATAAAGGCTAGTTGGTAAGCAGGATTTATTAATTAAGCTAGCTTAGGGGTGGAAAAGAGAGTACATATTGTATGTACGTATAGCTTTATCACACCACCCCCATTGTTTCATTTCACATCTTACAGTACCTTAATTAGGGCTAGCGTTGAGATGGAATGATAATGCTGACACCTCTTCATCCAACAGTTACATTAACGGTTTAACAAATTCGAATTTCAGATAATGATTTTATATGAAAAATGAATTTCTAATTAATAAAAAGAAATTGTTAATTAAATCAATAGAGCCCAAGAGCCCCAAGGCCGAAGGCCCATCTTTTGATAATTATATATATATATATATATTCAAAGCCCAAACCATGATGAGGCCCAACTTTACCTCCACTATGCCCATACCCTATTTAGTATTTCTAAAATATTGAAGTTTATAAACCATGAAAGGAAACAACTCATTTCCAATGTGGGACTAAATGCAAGTGTATTTTTCCTATACAAACTCTAACAAAAACAAAGTAGTCCCACTCCCTCCAGGCCCAAGCCCATGACCAATTGTTGTTGGTGTTTTCTTGCACGTACCTTCATGCATCATTGAGAGATAAAGATGGTGTCCAGCAATCTTGTCGAAGGATACGAAATTTTTTATACACTAATTAAAAAGGGTGAATCACAAATCATACACCCAGCAGAATGAAAAGCAAGATTTGGACTAATGAAACGAAGGGTTTATTAGGAAGACATACCATATGCATTATCATGTTATGGAAGACAATAGAATAAGCAAAATCATTGTAAAATGGACCCCAAAACAATTGTGGTTAACATTTCTAGAGCCAAAGAGATTAAAACGTTGAAAAGATTAGGTCATGGAGGTTGCTACTGGATTATTCAGGGAAAGAAGTGGTTGTTTTTTTTCGGCACAGGTCTATCCCGGTAAAAGTGGCATTTGCCGGATTAGACCTATCCCGATGAAATTCACCTATGCCGACGAAATGTCGTCGAGAGAGATCTAATCTGACAAATTTCGCCGAAATAGACCTTTGCCGACGAAGTTTCATCGGGAGAGGTTTTAATAGAAGTTTAGTATCGTTAGGTCCAATAAATTTTTGTTTTATTAATTAAATAATATATTAGCCTTATTTAAATACTTTCATTAGTAATTATGTTTTAATTATTATTTCTTTAGTGAATAATTAGTATTAAATATTTTAATAAAAATCCTAGAAATTTAGTTTTGGTACCCCAAATATTTTAGTATTCCAAAAATGAATTTTAGCCTCGAAACTTAAATCCAAGTCACAACGTGATTCAATAATATCAACTGGTTGTTGGAGTTTGATTGAAATACATGAACTTGAGTCCCACATTGGAAAAGAAGAGAGAGTATCTACTCCTTAGTAGGCATAAGTTAGAATTCGAGGCCTGAGAAAGGTTTTGGAACAATCTCGGAAGCTAGGGTTTTTGGTTTGAGACTTGAATTTACCCAAACTGATTTTGTGAAAATAAAAATTTAAAACAAAGTCCACGAGAAAAAAATAAATAAATAAAATAATTAATTACTATTTATTAAGTAATTTATTAAATGAATTAAAAATAAATAAATATTCACTAAAGAAATAATAATTGAACATAATTACCAATTAAAGTAATTAAATTTTTTTAAAGATATTACTTAATTACATATTGTAAACTAAAGAAGTTGGCCAAAAAATAAAAGTAAATTTAAAAATAAAAATAAAAAGGCTAGAAAACCTTTCCTGACGAAACGTCATCGACACAGGTCTATCCCGGCAAAAGCGGCATTTGCCGGATTAGACCTCTCCAGACGAAATGCACCTATGTCAACGAAATGTCATTGGGAGAGATCTAATCAGGCAAATTTCGCTAGGATAGACCTTTGCCAACACAATTTCATCGAGAGACTTTGAACAACATAACTTACCCCTGATGATTTTGAACAAACATGGAATCTTTGAAGTGGGTTGGCCTTAGTCCATGAAGTTTGTATGCGATCTATCTTCCCACAAAAGCAACGCTGTGCCACCACATCCAACTCTTCCTCTCCGTCAATTATTTCAGGCCCCATCTTCAATTTTCGTGGAAACCCAACCTTTGATTTATGGGGTTTTAGCTTCTTCTATGGGGAGGAAGCGAATTTGAGATTTTTTTTGGTTTGAACTAGCTAAGATCAATTTCGATCATTTAAACGGAACTTGGGATGACATTGACGAAAAGTGGTTAAGTGACACACGAAACCTTGGTCAATAGGGCAAAGTGGGTCATTTCAACTTTATTTTAGTACAAACAATAGTCTAAACTAAAAGGGAGGAGGATTTCACACACACACGTACTATGATGCCATGACAATTCGAATGTGACTCTGAGACCTTTGGTATGCAAGTTAAGGCACTTTTTCACTGAGTTAGACCCTTTTAGCACACTAGTGCAATATATTAGTAAAGCTCAAAGTATAAAACAATTTTAGTCTTACATCAAAAGCATGAGCTGAAAATGGTCGCCGATCAAATTGCAAATGGTGACAAATTAATCAATTGACTAGACTCTAAGCTGGATCATTCAATCCATTACAGAATTCTATGAACTAAAATTTGAACCAAGCTAGCGTTGTTGTGATTGTCATCGCCAACAAATGCGAGAGAAACTCCCATATATTATGTTGTTCTCTTTTCATCTCTCTCATCACATAATAGGGAAAGAGATAAAAAAACAAGATTACATTAAAACACAAACTTGAACTTTTCCATTTATTTTCTCACATTTCTTTGTTCTATTCTCTTGTTCTCTTCTCTTGAACTATATTTAGTACTTTTTTTTAATTAAAAAAAACAATTACAGTGGAAGAAAGCAATAAATGAGAGAAATTAGTACATATGGTATAATTATCCTAATTATTATATTTTGGACCGAACTTTCTGAATAAGCTCCCTTCTCAAAATCTTTCCTGCAGCAGACTTTGGCACACTGTTTATAAAAGTTACTCTCCGCAATCTTTTGAAAGGTGCAACCTGCGGAGGGAAAAGGAAGGAACCCATCAAATATCAAGAGAACTGCTAAAATCTCTTTTCTGATTTCTGTTGTAAATATGCTTAGCTGCCTGCCACCTTACCTGCTTGTCAATGAATTTCTGAATGTCTTGCTGGGTTATCGAGCTGTTGGGCGCACGAACAACATATGCAACTGGAACCTCACCAGCTTTCTCATCAGGATATCTGCAGCAGGAAATTCTGGGTCAAATCTCATGAAGTAGTATTTCAAAGTTATGGCAGCTGAGAAATAGTAGTGCAACAATTGCTTACGGGATCACAACAGCATCCAATATTTCAGGGTGAGAAAGCAACAGCCCTTCAAGTTCCGCCGGGGCCACCTTGCGTACAGTCAAGCAGTTTCATGAAGATAGATATATATATATATATATATATATGCACATTTATTTTTACAAAAATCGTTATTCTAAATTACTCTTAATGTACATGGAGGGGGCGAATACGCTGTCTTAATTAAATGGCATAATCTGCATCCATCATGAAACTATATTTTGAGTAAGATTAAAAGAATACCGACATATAATTAAGTTACCTGAAAACCGTAACACTTGATGAGCTCTTTAATTCGATCCACAACAAACAACTGCCCCTCCTCGTCAAAATATCCAAGGTCTCCAGTGTGCACCCAACCTTGTTCATCTTTAGTCAACTTTGTGGCTTCTGGGTTATTATAATAACCTGAAATAGTTAAGCAATTTATTGTTACGGATGCAACATTGAAATAACAAAATAAATGTAGACGGTCAAGATATATATGTTAGGTCAACCTGGCATCATATTGGGTCCTCTGACCAATATTTCTCCCAACTGATTAGGTGGAAGAGACTTGAGGGTATCTGTACTAACTATCTGGGATTCTATTCCTGAAACAAGAATGCCGCTTGATCCAGAAAATCGAGATCCTTCTCTGAAATTCTCTAGTGAAACAATCCCGCCAGTTTCTGTCAAACCATAACCCTGCCACCATACCACAACATGATTTTCAATCAACAATTCAAGGCATATTTGGTGGCTCCAACTGGACTAAACTGTTTTAATTAAATTGGATAGTCTCATGGTCGATGTTTGGTGATCTTATAAATACTAGGACTGAATTTATTAAATTGAACAACGTTTTCAATTTAATAAAGACCGACTTGAACTCAACGTTTTCAATCAAGTTCAAGTTCAAGGGGAGCTACTAAACGTTAAATAACACAATAATGAAGAATTAATATGTTAATTAAAAATTAGTCATGAATACAAACAAAAATATCATCATGTGTTATTGATATTGATGGAGGAGTCCTTTTTTATACAATTTACCTGACCAACGACAGCCTGTGGAATATTCTTGGCGCACTCCTCCATCAAATCCTTCCCCAGCGGCGCCGCGCCAGACGCGATGAACTCAAGCGACGACAAGTCGTACTTCTCCACAACGCTCTGCTTCGCCAGCGCGATCATCACCGGCGGAGCGACGAACAAATGAGTGACCCTGTACTTCTCAACCGCCTTCAGCGCCCTGTCGATCTCAAACTTCGCCATCGAAACGACGGCGTTCCCTCGCCGCAGCTGCGAGTACGCGATCACCGAGAGCCCGAATATGTGAAACATCGGGACGATGCACAAGAACACGTTTCTCGGCTCGCCGTACCGGTCCTGATCCGCCGTCACCATCAACGACGTCGTAATGAAGTTTCGATGCGTCAGAATCACTCCCTTGCTCTTCCCCGTCGTCCCGGACGAGTAAAGCAGCGCCGCCATGTCACTCTGCTTCACACTAATCGCCGGTAAATTTGAAATCGGATCCGGATCCTCCGAAATTTTGACCAAATCGGAAAAGTAACGTACTCTTGGATTTGGATCCCCGATTGAAGATCCCACTAGTATCGTCGGGAGATTGAAGCCCTTGATCTTAGGCCAGAGTTCGGGGACGGTGATGACGAGCTTGGGGTCACAGTCGTTGACTTGACTTGAGAGCTCGGAGACGGTGTACTGAGGATTGCAGGTGGTGGCAATGGCACCGATTGCGACGATTGAGAAGAAGCAGACGGGGAAGTGGATGGAGTTGGGGGCGAAGATGAGGACGACGTCGTTTTTCTTGATGTTGAGGTTGAGCAAGGCGTGAGCGAGCTTGGAGACTAGGGATTTAAGCTGGAGGAAGGTTAGAGTTTCGGCGGTGTCGGAGTCGGCGAGGGCAAGGTTGTTGGGGAAGGAGGTGGAGGATTGGAAGAGGAAGGAGGTGAGGGAGAGGTTGGGGTCTGTGGGGAAGGGGACGGGAGGTCGTGGGGAGGAGTAGGTTTGGGTTTTGGGGTTGAAGGATTTTGGCGCCATGGGTTTGGGGGCTGAGAAATTGCGGGAATCTGAGAGTATCTGTTTCTCGAGTAAGTTTTTCTCGTTATGGATATAGATGGAGTTGGAGGGTGAGTCATGAGGACGATGAGGTCCATTGAGGAAGGAAGGTTAAACTATTGACTTCCTCCCAAACCCCCCAATTAAGAACCAATTAAAAAGGGATATTTGTATAATATAAAAATGGACTTTTCACTATAACTCTAAATTAAAAGTAGTGAACGACTAATTATGTCAACCTTCAGAATAAAAGAAATGTTTAATAGGAATAGTCATAATATATTAGAATTTTCTCAACAAAAAAACAAATTCTATTATTAAAATGTTAAAATATTCTGCCGAATTTGAGTTTGGCCTAGTGGGAAATCTCTCTCTTTGCTATGCTTTGATTTCAATTTTGATTCCTCTCATTTTATTAAAATACAATATATATTTTTAAATAATTTTAAAAAGGAAACTAAAATTTTATAAATTTTTAATGAAAATTTTTTTAAGAAAAATTTCAGAGACCATTTGTGATAAGTGTGTGAACCTCAGGAATGTTTTATGATATATATATATATCATAATGCTAGTAAATAAATATTTGTATCAATTATCAACAGGAAGTAGTTGTCAGTGTAAAAATAATTTGATTTGAGGGTGGTTTTAGTAAATAAATATTTTGTATCAATTATGAGGTGCAATAAGGAATTTTATAGATGTAGATAGCAATGTTTGAAAAATCACTAGGCGATAGGCAAGGACCTAGCGGCTAGAAGAGTAATTGGGCCTAGGCATTTTTTAAAATTTTTTTTATTAAAATCATGCAAAATAAAAGGATATATAAATTATATTGATATAAAACATGGGAAAAAGTTACTAGAAAGAAAAATACTTGAAATGAAACGCTAGGCCTCTAAATCTAACTCTTCCTCCTCTCCATATCCCTCCAAGACTAGGTTTTATTTAAAGTCAGGAAAAAAAAAAAAAAAGGGACCCAACCCGCCTAGCCCGCCTAGGCGGAATTTTTTTATTTTTTATTTTATTTGTTGGACGATTTTTCGAACACATAGATAGTAACTCGGTTCTGTTTTTATCTTATCCAACCCCTGAAAATCAACCAAACTTGCGCCGATATAGCAAATACTTTGATTTTTCTCCTTCCCGTTCCACTCAGTTGACAAACTCAAGGAGCTTCTCAGGCGAAGCAATGGTGGTGCCTCTCTTCAACCTCGCCCCCCCAATCTTACCGACTCTGAGTCTGATTCTTTGGCCCTCCCTCTCATCCTCAAATACAAATTCATTCTTCGTGCAGGGACGATGACTTTCGGCAAGCAAAACACGTTTCCGGAGTCGTTTGGCCTCCTCGACCAAGCTTTCCTGTCCGGCATCAATTTCTTCGACTCTACATAAATGTATCCAGTGGTTCAGCGAGCCCAGACTCAAGGACAGGGGAGGAGCGAGGAGCGTCGTTTTGGCCACCAATGGTGTGCCAGCTTGCTTTTCACTTCTGATGAGTGAAAATTTGTTCTAATATTACAAGTACCGTCTGGGCAGATGACTTGGATACGAGATGGTCCCAAGTGTTTGAATGCTAAGAATATCACCGAGGCCATTGTCGGCAGGTTTGCCCAGACCCGCCTTGGCCCCCAGACTCGCCCATGCCGCCTAGATCCGCCCAGGCCGCCTAGATCCTCCTAGACCGCCTAGGCGCCGCTAGGTCCGCCCAAGCCGCCTAGATCCTCCCAGGCCGCCTAGACCACCCCTAACTCCCTGGTGTCGATGTCATCCCGCCTAGCGCCTAGGCCGATATCTCGAACACTGCTCAAAACCTTGCTCTGTGCCCTAGACGTTCATCGTGATGAGTTCGAGTCCGATTCGCCAGAATATTAAAAAAAAACCGAGTATAGCAGAACGGCTATACTATTTATATTTAAAAAAAAAGTACGGAGTAAAGCCGCCTGGTAACGTTGTTCTCGCCATCATGCCAAGTAACAAGGAAAAAGAAACCAGAAGTTTATATTTTGAAATGAGAAGAATGTTTAAGATAATAAGGAAGACTTGGGGTACGTCAATATCAGGTATAGTTTTCTTTGACAATTGAGATTAGGAAGACTTGAGATCAGGTAAAGTCCTTTTCTATCTGTCTCTGGCAGCTGGTATAGTTTGGATAGAATTAATTTACACCAATATCAGGTGATTTTCTTTGACAATAGTTTATTCATATCGAATATGTATAGTGCATTAGCAGATGATTTTCTATCTATCTTTGGCAGCTGGTATGTTTAAGAGTATTTTTTAGCAATATCCTGGAAGTGGGAGAACAGCTTTACTGGTCTAGACAACAAACATGAACATGTGATCTGAACCATTTATCACTTTGACTTCATCTGGTGGATTTAACTATGCTACGAATTAGATTTCTTCGCCTATCCATGTTGAGGAAAAAAATTGGAAATTCTATACATAGAATCTAAATTACCTTAACTACAAAACTTGTTCTTCTATTCCTTCACTGCTCAATGTAACAACGTTCATCCACAAAGTGCATTCACTTCTTCCATATATGGCCTCAAAGAGTCATGAGGATCTCAAAGCACTCTTTCCAGCATTGTCTGATTGTGGCCCAGTTGCCTGACTCAAGGAAACTCAAAGAGTTTTCGTCGAGACTTGGCCTCATTGGTTGGCAAGATCTCATTTTATCACTTCAACTCAAAGGAATAAATGATGCTCTGCAAAAATCTGTGCTGATAAGTTCATTCTTTTAGAAGTTTATTTCTCTTCCTCAAAACAGAGTTCCTGAAATCTTGTTAAGCTGCAAGCAAAGAGCAACCAGTTTAGTTTGGATAAGTCATGATCACGAGGAACGAATGAAACTAAAAGTGAAAGAAAGAAGTTGACTGTAGTAAATTCAAAATAAAATCAAACCCTATAGTAAGAGCAATCACTAGTTTACTGGGAAGCATAATGAAACTCATTTCAAAGAGACGTACTGGTTCAGAAGAACATTAGGATTGTAGGGAAACAGATTCTTTTGGTGTAGACCTTCAATAGAAATTTTAAGTGAAAGTAAGCACTCTTTGGCTTCTTTGAAATACCGTCCTCCATTTTAGGTGTGCTTGCAGCCATTTTCATTTTCTTCATCAGGGTCATCATCAAGAAATGTAAGATGATTTTTTGTTGGTGCAAGAGAATCCTCTCCCCAGGAACTCGAGCCACCCAATGAAACTTTTCTTTTCTTGCAAAATGATTGATTTGTAGCTTGCCCACCCACTAGAAATTCCACAAATAAGCTCCATGAATCACACACTTTACACAAGCACCTAAAAGAGAATGCATTAAGGACGGTAAGAAGCAAATGAAAGATACAAAGAGTTGCAATTAAAAACAACTGTCTGGGGTCAACCAAATTGATTCTGTTTTGCTAATTAGTTAAGAAGTCATGTAAAAGCAGAGGGTTAATGTTTTATAGTTTAGTCACCGAGGTCGACACCAGAAAAATGCGGCCCACCACGGTTTAGATTTCATAAGTTAAGAGAAGGTGTAGAAAGAGAAAAGACCTTAAAAGATATTCTGCACAACTGATTCCGGTATCTTTTGAAATAAGGTAATCAAGAAGCACCTGATGGTCATAGCTCAACTGCAAAATAGGAAGAAAAAAGAAAGTGCATAATGTCAGTGATTCTTTTTTATTCTGCAATACCATACTTCAAATTAACAACTAGGAGGCATGCCGAAGTGGAAATGCAGATATGTAAATGTCCAAGAGTGAGCATCTTGCCTCTAATACGAAAAGATGGAACAAGAGTACAGGATTGAAAAGATCTGAGACACTAAAAAGTAAATTGCCATTCGAATCCTCCAATGCAACCTTTTCCTTTTCATCCCTATATAAACCCAAAAATCTTGTTATAAGGAATCCATGACGATAACTTTTAAAACAATGGAAAACCAGGATATTAATTCCTTACTGTTCTGCACAACAAGGTACACAAAGCAGATGCAAGAGCACTTTGAATAATACATCATCCTACAGTTCAAAAACAAGCCAAGAAATGAGGACATGAGTCTAAAAAACTGCAAGAAAAATACGACAAATGAAGAATACAGAACTGCAATTTTAGTACGTGAAATTGTTGAATAAGACGATGCATTCAGATAGACAAAACAAAATATGGATACAATTTTTCTTTTTTTTGGGTCTGGGTGAATAGATTGCCTATTTTGCTTATATCACGTTGCATATAAACATAGACAAAAAAACTCCTAGTTTCAAAGATAAAGAAGACATACCTTTTTGATATACAGTTGGATGACGGATTTGGCAAAGTCAACACATTCTACAAAATACATTTCATGGTCCACTGTCATATTAGCTGGAAGATGCCCTTGAAGCCAGTTATAAAGCTCCAAGAGACCTTTCTTTCTTGGACAGTAACATTAGGCTTCTAGTACTAGAAAGAAATCAATAAAGCAGAGAGGCATTGGTGAGCAATGCCAATGCCCCTCCCTCCACTAACCGACCTCTCCCTTCATGCGAGTTGACGACTAATTTCTCCTTTCCTTTTCTTTACCCCAACCAAGACCACCAGGAATTATAAATCTCTCATTCCCTCTTCATTTGCCTCCCAATTCTCACTCTCTCAACAACAGAAAACAGTTTTCTATCTCTTCCTTTCACTCCACACGAAACAAACCCCTCATTTCTTATGCCTTTCCTTATTTTATGTCACCTTTCCTCCTTCTCACACACTATATACATGTCACCTTTGCTCCTTCACACCAGCAAGCTTCGTCTGTCTTCATTTGGGAAAAAAAAAGGACACGACCCGCCCTGGCGCCCAGACCCGCCTTGGTGCCCAGACTCGCCCAGGCCGCCTAGGCGCCGCCTAGATCCTCCCAGGCCGCCTAGGCCCCCCCATAACTCCCTGGTGTCGGTGTCCTCCCGCCTAGCGCCAAGGCCCATATCTCGAACACTGCTCAAAACCTGGAACAGGCTTGCTCTGTGCCCTAGACGTTCGTGGTGATGAGTTCGAGTCCGATTCGCCAGAATATTTTAAAAACCGAGTATAGCCGTACGGCTATACTATTTTAAAAAAAATTAAGAAAATACCGAGTAAAGCCGCCCGGCAATACTGGTTTTAAAAAATTAGGTAAAAACGGGATACAGCAGTTCATGAATGTCTGCAGTTCTCCTTGTTCTAAAAGGAAAATTATTTTGAATATTATCTCTAGTTCCAGCATTTGGTCTCTTTACTGCATGTTGTAGTTATCGAATATTGCCCGTCGCATGTTGATTTACTAATATGCTTTTATTTCCTTTCACTGGATACATTGATATTGCAGGGAAGTACAGTGTTCATCCAGTATCTCTTGCAATAGGTTCGACACCTCTCCCTCCAATTCTTTATAGTTTCACCATGTTCTTGTCCTCGTAAGGGCTGTGGTTTGGAGACTTAATGGGGATCCTGCAGATGCTCGGTAGATTCTAGAGGTCAGTTTTCAAATTGTTCATCTCATCTTTTGATATGTAGGAACTTAGAATACTAAAATAATTTTCTAGGATATTTAAATAATTGAAACTACTTTTAAAATAATTTTAAATTCCACAAATTTTTTTAAAGATAATTAAATATAATTAATTACATTTTTTGAAATTAATTAAAATATTTAAGTACTAATTCGTCACTAAATAAAAAATAATTAAAACATAATAGATTTAAATATTCAAATATATTAAATAGTATAGCCGCGCGGTCATACCGTTTAAATATTCAAATATATTAAAGCGTATAGCCGCCCGGCGATACCCTTTAAATATTCCAATATATTTAAGAAGTACAGCCGTCCGGCTAGATGGTTTATTTAAAGAGTATAGCCGTCCGGCTATACTCAACCCGCCCAGGACTCCTAGGCGGATTTTATTTTATTATTTTTGGTCCCCTGAAAATCCACCAAACTTTGCGCCGATATAGCAGATACTTTGATTTTTCTCCTTCCCGTTCCACTGACAGTTGACAAACTCAAAAGAGCTTCTCAGGCGAAGCAATGGCGGTGCCTCTCTTCAACCTCGCCCCCAATCTTACCGACTCTGAGTCTGATTCTTTGGCCCTCCCTCTCATCCTCAAATACAAATTCATTCTTCATAGGGACGATGACTTTCGGTGAGCAAAACACGTTTCCGGAGTCGTTTGGCCTCGTCGACCAATCTTTCCTGTACGGCATCAATTTCTTCGACTCTACAGAAATGTATCCAGTGGTTCAGCGAGCCCAGATTCAGGGGAGGAGCCAGGAGCGTCGTTTTGGCCACCTAGGTTGTAAAGTAGCGCTGAGAGTACCAGTTCATGCTAACAATGGTGTGCCAGCCTGCTTTTCACTTCTGATTTGTGAAAATTTGTTCTGATATTACAGATACCGCCTGGGCAGATGACTTGGATACTAGATGGCCCCAAGTGTTCGAATGCTAAGAACATCACCGAGGCCATTGACGGCAGGTTTGCTAAAGCAAACAGTTTGTAATTTTTCTTCTGTTTAAACGCTTCGTGTTATGTTGTGCTGAGTGATGAGTTTTGTAATGTTTAAATGCAGCTTAAGAAAGGTTACATTGATCATTGGCGTGATGGGTTTTGTATCTAGATTAAGTGTTTTCGGAAGGTTCATTGCTTTCGCATTATTTTTCCCAACTATATATGTTTACAACTCCATAATTTGCTTGCCTTCACCCAGGCTTGTCTTGCTTTTTCGACTTTGTGCCTACACAATCCCTGTTAGCAAGACTTGAAATGATTAGTGACTGTTTTTGTAGCTATGTTCCCATGTTTGGAGAAACTGAGTATGATCCAACCCGACATTTTTGTTCGATTCCTATAGACAAACAACTTGATGCTCTTGGACGAGCTGTTGATTCTGGTAAGGTTAGTTTCATACTGTTGCCTTTCTTCCCCTTTCTTTGATAAGTCATTTAGTTTGGTGACTTTTTCCTTTATTTTGCAATGTTTTAAGAGTATAAAATTCCCATGTGAATTGAAGGGAAATTTTTGTTTTGTAGATTAGATATGGGGTGATGAGGTTTGTTCAGGTAGCTGAAAGGGGCACTCACCATCCAAAGATTGTCTCTGTGCAGGTTGTCTATTTGATCATTGCACTCTCAGTCAAATGCTTTCTGTATTGTTGCTGATTTTTGGACTAATACAACTTACTGTCTATTTGATAGAATTCGTACAGCTTGGTCTGATTCGCCGTGGGGAAGGGCTTCTTATCTCAACATGCATTTGGGTTTTCATTTTTTATGGCTTTCAGATGCTCAGTTGAATCTTTGTAGAGTGTTGACGCAGAAAAATGGTTCTGCACTTTCCCGCGCAACTTAGTGATTAAGTCTCTTCGGTATCTGATGTCCTCGGTAGGGTGTGCGATCTGTAAGATAGCAAACACACGGTAAATCCTAGGGCACCGGTGTGGTACCGGCCGAAGGCTCTCCGATGCTTAAGTAAGTACGGATTTAGTAAGTTTTAACTGCAGATCAATAGGCAGTATGCCGTAAGTTCTGATTGATTACCTTCAGGCTGGGATAGGTGTCCTCTTTTATAGACCTTGGGAGGTGTGCAATTTGTCTAGAGTTTCGATGTGGGACTCTGGGCGTCAATCGTGGAGCTGCCACGTGCCAGAGTGGGCAAAGTTGCCCTAATGTTGTGATCGGTAGGTCCAGTACCGAAGGTGAGTGCCGAAGGCACACGTAGCCCTGGAATAGTCCACGTGGTTGATGTTCATTGGGTGTTCATTTTGGTATAAACAGGAGTCCCCCAAGTCCCCTTGCGAGAGTCTTCGGAAGGGGATTTGAATTCGTCCTCGGGAGGAAACACGGCCTTACCGTTCGGTAACCCCCCCTGGGGGAGGGGCAAAACCCCGTTCCTTCCGGCATGACCAGTTCAGAGGCTGGCGTTGGTGAAGTCAGAAGGTCGCGTCGATCTGACGGGCGAAGAAACGTCTGAGCGCTTCGACTTCCGCGCCTCGCGTGCCGTCAGTTCTCCATTGGGTGAGCGACACGTGGCGGAAATAATGATGGCGCGCGGCGCATTAATGCGCCGTTTGGTTTTTCGAGGGATACCGTTGTCGAACTCCCCACTATAAATAGGGGTGACCCCGGTGGCGAATTCACTTTGCATCTTGTGAGAAGTGAGAGCTCTGTCCGAGGCGATTTCCGACGAGTACCAACGGTAGGAAAAGCGATTTCCGACGAGAGCCAACGGTAACCAGGCGATTTCCGGTGAGTGTTACCGGTAGGAGTGGCGATTTGCGTCCAGACGATCTGAAGCAGTCCGCGTTCACTTCCAGAAACCAAACAAAGGTACCGTTCGGTAGCCCTACCTTTTCTCTCTTTTACGTACCTTAAGAGTTTACGTCCTTCCTTGGTTTGAACTAGACTGGCCATAGGGTTCCATTCGGTAGTCTAGTCGCCATAGGTGGTGATGTAGGGATCGGTAGGATAGCATCCGGCATGAGCCTTAGTTTCCCATTTTCCCTGTTTTTGTAGATGTCTGATAGCGAGTCATTCTTCGAGCGCGAGCCCAACGCGTTCGACGAGGAGTCATCGGACGGTCTCTTTGACTCCGATGTTGAAGCGGTAGGGCCTGATGCCGAGGAGGGGAGCGATACCGACGTCGAGATACTCGGCGAAAGGCCTAGCCCAGTTCCCACACACGGCATCGGGAAGGGGTTTATGACCGCTCCGGTACCGTTGTCTATAGTGTATAGCGACGGTCGCCACGTGGGGCTTGGCGCTCCAGGGGAGGCAAGCGGTAGCCACCAGCCAGAGGCTTCTACTTCCGGCCGTGGTGAGGCGGCTACCGAACCTTCCATCCGCCGAGGGTATCTGTAGTCTACCCCGGCAATCCTAAGGTGCCGATGGGGGTTCCGAAGGAGCTCGTCTTCGGGGTGGATTATCTGGAGCCCAACAGAATCACCGAAAGGGAGATTGCGAAGTTCCGGGCGGAGTACTTCATTCCAGATTCGGTAGGTATGAGGATCCCACTTCCTACCGAATCCCTAAGCAGTCCAAAAGACGGCGAAGTCGTCTTTTTCACGGACGTGCTTCTGCAGGGGGTGAGGCTTCCTCTGCAGCCTGCCGTTCAGAGAATCCTGGCGCAGATCGGCTACGCTCCCGGCCAGTTCAACCCCAACTTCTGGGTGGCGCTGATGGGGGTAGTCACAGCCTTCGGCATGGCTGGGGAGGGAGAACCTTCGTACGAGCAGTTCTCCCACCTTTACAGCGTCACGAAATCAAAGTGTGCCGATCACGGAGGCTGGGTCCAGGCCAATTGTCTGAAGGCTGCCGAGCGTGGTCACTTCGTCAATGCCGTTCCGACCTCCCAGAAGACTTGGAGGAAACGGCGGGTGCTTTTGTCCGTGACTGGGAGTCGCCCTCGGGACATCCCGTCCGTTTCCATATCCCCAACCACATTCCAAATCGCCGGTAGGCTATCCTGCCGTTCGGTAGGGCTTGTAGGTTTTGCTTTTATCGTTTTAAAGCTGATTCCGTTTGGTTTTGTGCAGGCAAATTGAAGCAGCCGAGTGCCACACAAGCGGAGGTCCGGCAGATCGAAAAGGTCAGGCTGAAGGTTCCTGCCGTCGAGAGGGTCTACCCGAAGTTTCTTTTCACTCCCAATCTCATCAAGGCCCGGCTCGTCAACCCTGCCGAGAGTAAGTATACTTCCCCATTTTGATAGTTCAGAATATGTATCGATAAATCTGACCGATTCCTTCTTGCAGTGACCGAAGAGAGGAAAGCCGCCGAGGTGAAGAGGATGAACGAGTCCTCGAAGAGACGCCTCATGCTCGGCATGCAGGGGGAAAAAGAAAAGTCGGCAGGCCTCAACGGCACCGGCGCCTTCGACAGTCGTGGATCCTGACGATCTGACACTCAACGAGCGTCGTCGCCAGATGCAGGCTGAGTCGGCGCGTGCCGAAGCTAACGAGGCTGGTCCATCCCCTGGCCGAGTCCCGCCTACGAGGGCACCTCCTCCAGAGCGGCAGGCAAGAGGCCGTTTACCGTGGACGTTGATGCCGACCCCGCTCCAAAACGCGGGCGACAAACAGAGCCTGCACGGGCCGTTTTCTCTGCCGAGGACGACGAGGCCCCTTCGGAAGCTGTGACCCTGGCCTGTCCTTCGAAGACGGTCCAGTTTGTGAACCATATGATCCTTGGTTCACAGATGGAGCTGTCGGAGATCGAGGACCTGCCGAAGAAGCTGCTTCGGGAGGAGGCTGGTCGCGCCTTCCGTCTCCAAGCCTCGGTAAGTGCCTTTTGTTTTCAGGGTTTCCTTGTCATCCAGTTCTCTTTTCATCTGACATCTTCTTTTGTTGTGCAGGCTTCAATGGACATGTGGCTCTGCGTTAAGCGGGCCATCAATGCCGCCGAGAAGGCGAAGAAATTATACGAAGACGGCAGGGCGAAGGTTGCCGAAGCTGGCAAGGCCATCCAAGCCCAGGCAAACTTGGCCAAGGACATGCAGGCTGCCGAACGGCAGGTGAAGGTTTATCAGGCCAAACTTGGCGAGATGTCTGCGGCATTGGAGGCGGCTCAGCTGACGGCAAAAGAGGCTCTGGAGTCGAAGGAGGCGATCCAGGTGGCTTTCGAGGAGTCCGAGCGGGCCAGGGCTTCCGAGATCGAGGCTGCCGTTCAGAAGGCGATCCAGGGCTACCGTCGGTCTACCGAGTTCTCTACCTTGCTGGACAAGGAGGTAGGATCGGAAATGGCGGACCTGCTCTACCGTTTCAAGCGGTACAACCCTGGGAAAAAGCTCAACCTCAACTTCATTGCTGACCCACCCCCCCTTCCTGAGGGCATAATCGAAGAGATGATCGAGGAGTACGAGGGGGAGGATGTGACAGAGGAGGTCCCAGCTGAACCCGAAGGGATAACTGCCGAAGCCGATGGTGCTGCCCCTGATGCCGACGAAGCTGCCGCCTGATGGAGGGTCCCGTCTAAAGCTGCCTTTATGTGTTTTTGATTTTAAATTTGATGCCGTTGGCATCTCTGTAATTCTGTTGCAACTTTAATGCCGTTGGCATTTTTAGATAATTAATTATGTTTTTTTTTTGAAGTTATTCGCGACTTACTTTTAAATCGGTAGCGTTTTTAGGAAATCGTTCTGTTGAATGCCGAAGGCTTTTAAACAAAGGTCATTTGCCGTTGGCCAGTGACGTTTCCTTTTACGCAGGGAGTTCCAAGTGTTATGGAGTTTACCACCAATGCGCGTGCTTGCCCAATAAGTTTACGAAGTTGTCTTTTAATCGGTAGGATAATGGCGATGCCAAAATGCGTAGTTAGCTGCGACCGATGGTCCCTACCGTACCCCTTTTTTTTTGAACAAAAATGGATAGATTTGAAAAATATAACAAAGGTGCCGAATATGTGAGCCGAAGGCCCTTTTTATTGATAAACTGCCGAAGGCGAGATTACAATTATGTGCGCGTTTTCAATATAGAACCCGCCGTTGGCTTGGTAACGCTATAATGCCGGAAGCTGTGCTTGTAGAGATGCCGAAGGCTTTTGTGACTCTTCCATGTCCCTGCCGTAGGCAAGGTGACTTCATTTGAAGTAGTACTTCAAATGCTCTACGTTCCAAGGGTGACCGAGGGTCTTTCCATTGGAGTCTCTGAGTCGGTAAGTCCCCGATCGCTGGATACCGATGATCTCGTAGGGTCCCTCCCAGGAAGGTCCGAGGGTTCCTTCCGTGGGATTCTTGGTTGCCAAGGAGACTTTTCGCATGACCCAATCTCCGACTCGGAAAGAGCGGGATCTGACCCTGGAGTCATAGTACCGAGAGACGCGTTGTTTGTAAGCTTCGTTCCGAAGGTTGGCTTGTGCTCGGCGCTCTTCGAGTAAGTCGAGGCTCAGAGCCAGCGCTTCCTCATTTGCCTTCGGTGCGAAGGTTTCCGTTCGGTAGGAGGGCTCTCCGATCTCTACTGGGACTACTGCCTCTGAACCGAAAGCCATGGAGAATGGTGTTTCCCCGGTTGCCGTTCGGTAAGATGTCCGTATGGCCCATAGCGCCTCCGGAAGCTTTTCTGGCCATGCCCCTTTGGCTTTGTCAAGCTGCCGTTTCAACAGCTTCTTGACAATTTTGTTCATGGCTTCGACCCTGTCCGTTCGATTGGGGGTGTGCTGGCGAAGCAAAGAACAGGTTGATCTTGAGTCGTTTGCAGAATTGCCGGAAAACTTCCGAATCAAATTGCTTGCCGTTATCCGTGACGATCGCGTAGGGGATGCCGAATCGGCAGCAAATGTTTGTCCAAACGAAATCCTCGATTCTGGCTGCCGTTATCGTTGCTAGTTCTTTGGCTTCTACCCATTTGGTGAAGTAGTCTACGGCAACAACAGCGTATTTTACCTGACCCTTGCCCTCTGGCATCGGACCGATTAGATCCAGTCCCCATTGGGCGAACGGCCATGGGCTCACGATCGGTGACAGTGGCTCGGCGGGAATGTGAGGGACACTACCGAACCGTTGGCATTTGTCGCACTTCTTGACTAGTGTGTTGGCATCCTGATGCAGAGTCGGCCAGAAATAACCCTGCCGGAAGACCTTGTGTGCGAGCGATCGGGAACCAGAATGGTCCCCGCAGATTCCGCTGTGGACCTCCCGAAGGATGTAGTCCCCTTGCTCTTTGGTCAGGCATTTTAAGTACGGCGTCGTGTAGCCTCGTTTGTACAGACATCGTTGATGACTGTGTATCTTGCCGATCGGTAGCGAGTTTCCGAGCTTGGGTTTTGTCGGTAGGAAGGGTTCCGGCTTTCAGATAGGCATAGATTGGGGACATCCATGTATCCTCGTACCGAACGTACATACCTCAGCGGCGGTTGTACTTGGTTGGGATAATATCTCCACCGGTACCTTCCTTTCGATCCTGTCATTTATTGCCGAAGCCAATCGCGAGAGTGCATCGGCATGGCTATTTTCAGACCTGGGGATCTGCCGTATCTCATAGGCTTGGAATTTCTGTAGTAGCTGGTGGGCTGCCGATAGATAGGCGGACATGGAGGCGTCCTTTGCTGCAAAGTCTGCCGTTATCTGGTTTACTATGAGCTGGGAGTCGCTGTGAATGCTGATCTGCCTCGCGCTCATGCTCTGGGCTAGCCGAAGGCCAGCCAAGAGGGCCTCATATTCTGCCTCGTTATTGGAGGTTCGGAAGTTGAATCGGAGGGCGTACTCGATTTTTCTACCGTCTGGAGTGGTTAACACTAAGCCGGCACCACAGCCTTGCTGGTTTGCCGAGCCGTCCACATGCAGGATCCAGAGAGGAGTGGACGTGTCGAAACGTTCGGTATTCATTTTCTCTGGTGCGGTAGGGACGACGCTCGGTGACGATGGTTCCGATAAAGCAGGCGGTGTGAGCTCGGAGATGAAGTCGGCAACGGCCTGGCCTTTTTCTGCCGGCCTGGGTTTGAACTGTATGTCAAACTCCCCCAACTCGATTGCCCATTTGACCAATCGGCCAGATGTTTCCGGCTTTTGGGAGCACCTGCCGAAGGGGCTGGTTCGTCAGAACCGTGACTTCGTGAGCCTGGAAGTAGGGGCGAAGCCTTCGCGCCGAGACGACCAGGGCCAGCGCTAGCTGTTCCAAGGGTGGGTACCGAAGCTCTGCGCTCTGGAGCGCCTTGCTGACATAAAAGATCGGTAGCTCCGCCTTCTCCGGCTTCCTTATCAACACTGAGCTGACGGCAGTGTTGGATACCGAAAGGTACAGCAGTAGTACCTCGCCCGGCAGTGGTTTTGATAACAGTGGTGCTTGGCTCATGTAGTTCTTCAAATTTTGAAATGCTTGGTCGCATTCGGGAGTCCATGTTATATGATGTTTGCCCCCTTTCAAAGCTTTGAAGAACGGTACGCATTTATCGGTGGCCTTGGAGATGAAGCGTGTCAGGGCAGCGACACGTCCGGTAAGGCTCTGAATGTCCTTCTGCGTCTTCGGCGTCTCCATGTCGATTATGGCCTTTATTTTTTCGGGATTGGCCTTGATTCCCCTTTGACTGATCATGAAACCGAGGAATTTACCGGAAGATACACCGAAGGCGCACTTCGCCGGGTTCAGCCGCATTCGGTAGTCCTTTAGAATGCCGAACATGAGGGCCAAGTTTTCCAGGTGATCCCCTGCCGTTCGGCTCTTCACCAACATGTCGTCAACATAAACCTCCATGATGCCGCCGATGTATTTAGCGAAGATCCGGTTGACGAGCCGTTGGTAAGTTGCCCCCGCGTTCTTCAGGCCGAAGGGCATGACGTTGTAACAGTACAAACCGCGATCTGTGATGAATGCCGTATGCTCTCTATCGGCAGGGTCCATGAAGATCTGGTTGTATCCTGAATACGCGTCCATGAAGCTGAGCAGTTCGTGCCCGGCGGTGGCATCGACGAGCTGATCGATCCTTGGTAAGGGGGAAACTGTCTTTCGGACAGCCTTATTCAGGTCGGTATAGTCTTGACACATTCGCCATCCTCCCCTGGCTTTCCGAACCATGACTGAGTTGGCCAGCCAAACAGGGTACGTAGCTTCCCTGACAAAGCCGATGGCTTTGAGCTTGTCGACTTCGGCTCGCATTGCCTCATACCGTTCGGCATCGTACGATCGGCGCTTTTGCCTGACTGGTTTGTGGGCGGGGGAGATGCTGAGCTTGTGGCTGATGACGTCGGGTGATATGCCGGGCATGTCGTCATAAGACCAGGCGAAGACTTCCGCATGTTGCCGTAAGAAGTCGATGAACTGCCTTCGGAGGTCGGGTTCCAGATTGGTGCCGATCTTCACCCACCAATCGGGGAAGTTCTTGTTCAGGATTATGGTCTCCAGCTCCTCGGCGGGCTGTGCCATTGGCGTTGTGTTTTCCTCCCGGGGGTCGTCAATGGGTTCGTTACCGTTCGGTAGTCCCTGCAAGGTCATGGCCTCCATTGGCGGTTTGCTGGCTACCGACTTAAGGGCCGTGGCATAGCACGTCCGTGCCCTGAGCTGATCGCCCCGGATGGCTCCGGTACCGTTGCGTGTTGGGAACTTCATCAGCAACATGTGTGTGGATAGGTGGGCTTTGATCCTGGTGAGGGCCGTTCGCCCTATGATGACGTTGTATGCCGTTGGGCAGTCAACAATGAGGAATTGGTCATAGGTCATGGTCTTCCGGGGGGCCATGCCGAAGGCAATGGGTAAACTGATGCTACCGACCGGTTGTACCAGATCCCCAGAGAAACTGAGGAGAGGCGTGATTTGCCGATTGACCATGCTATCCGCAATCCCCAGTCCCTTGAACGCATCGGCAAAGATCACGTTCACCGAGCTTCCGGTGTCAATCAGCACCCGACCCACGTCGTAATCGGCGATCTCAGCCCGAATGATCATTGGGTCGTCGTGGGGGTAGATGATCCCCTCCTCTTCTTCTTCACTGAATGTGATGGGCTCCCATCCCACCTTTGGCATTTTCGGCACCGATCCTCTGCTATGCCGAAGACCTGAGGGCAGTGGGCGGCGCGCACATACTGCTTCGCCGAGCGGTTGGAGGGTCCCGCCAGGGTGGGGCCACCGCTGATCGTGTTGATCATGTTGATCTGCCGATTCGCATTCGGTGCCGGGGCCTGTGGCGGCCTGGCAAGGTACTGATCCAACTTCCCTTCCCGAATCAGGCGCTCGACAATTTTCCTTAGACTGATGCAGTCTTCGGTATTGTGGCTGTTCTGCTGGTGATATCGGCAGAATTTGCCAGTATCCCGATTATCCTGCCGATTGGGCTTCCGGTTGGTCGGCTTCGGGATCTGGTCGTGTTCGTTCATTAGAACGGTCTCGTACGTCGTGTTCAGCAGGGTGAAGACTTCCTGAGCACGATCGTGATTCGGTAGGGGTGCCCGGTGGTCGTTACGACCGTACTTCCCACGTCCCTTCTTCGAGTTTCCCTGACGGCCATCCCGGTCGTCCTTCCGTTTGTGCCTGCCGACGGATCCTCGGTTCGGCCGGGATAACTTTGGCTGCCGATTCCTCCTTCCGAGCCGAAGGCCCGGGTTTGGAGTTGAAGTATTCGGCCTTCGCATGGACTGCCGCCTGCTTCATTAACTCGTCATACGTGCGCCAGTTGCTACTGTGCACGAGATATCGGAAGTGAGAGGACCGTAGGCCACTCTTGAAGGCGCCGTAGGCTGCCTTATCGTCCGTTTCGGGACACCTCGAGTACTCGTGACTGAAGCGCGCTGCGTATTCCCGTAGGGGTTCGTCCTCCTTTTGCCGAATTGTGTACAGATCATCGGCAGAATACAGACGGTCCGTCTGAATCATGAAGTGGTTGAGGAAGATCTGCTTCAGTTCTTCAAAGGAGTGTACCGTCCCTGGCTCGAGACGGTAGAACCAGTTCAGTGCAGCTCCGGTAAGGGACTAGGGGAACAGCAGGCATTGTCCCTCGTCGCTAAGGCCCTTACATCCAACTGCCGATTGGAAAGAGTGAAGGTGCGTCAGAGGGTCCTCCACACCGGTATAGAAGGGTATGCGCAACGGCTGCACCTCCCTGTCTGGTCTGGACCTCTTGATGCGCTCGGTAAAGGGCCCGGGTCGAAGTTTTCCCCAGTCAGGGACCTGGGATCGGGTTCGGTCTTCCTCCATCTTCTGGATTCTTTGAAAAAGTAGTCGGATGGCGGGGTCTCGGCTGGGGACATCCTCGGAATCAAAGTCTTCGGAAGTTTTCCTCGGACTTGGCGATCTCGCCTTTGAGTACTCCGGGGGAGCTTCCGAACGGTAGCTCGATTCGGTGTCCCTGGTGGGGATGTACTCATTGTCGGATTCCTGCGCCGAATCCAAACCCTGAGCCCTCCGAAGGGGCGACTTGTCCCCCAAGACCCTCATCCGGGAGTCTCTCAAGTTGGCGTTTAGTCTGATTGGGGACCTATGCCGTTCGGCATCTTTCTTGTCGTTGATCCGATGACGACAGTCGGTGTATACCTTCTTCGGTACGTGCGGTTGGTCCTGGGGTGCCGGGACTACCAGCTGCTTGGAAGGCGCAGGCGTTGCCTTTGCCCCCTGTTTTCCCTTCTTCTGCCGACCGGGGGTCTGTTGACTCTGGGAAGATTCGGTGGTCCGAACGTTTTGCGTTTCCTGCTGATTAAGCAACCGTTGGGTTTCGTCCACTTTGGACGAGAAGAGATTGTTACGTTCTTGGAGTTTAGCCATCTCCTTTCGGAGGGAGGTCATCTGAGCCAAAAGCTCTGCTTCGACCGTGGTCTGAAGCGCAGGTGGATTACCGAAGGGAGTGCTAGGGTGCAGCGCGGGGCTTGCTCCACTTGGCATACCGTACGGTAATCCATCCTCTGATAGGAACTGTTGTCCTGAAGTGGTTCCCATTTGTTTTGTTTAGGAATTGTAGGTCGATTATATCGATTTCCCACAGACGGCGCCAAACTGTTGACGCAGAAAAATGGTTCTGCACTTTCCCGCGCAACTTAGTGATTAAGTCTCTTCGGTATCTGATGTCCTCGGTAGGGTGTGCGATCTGTAAGATAGCAAACACACGGTAAATCCTAGGGCACCGGTGTGGTACCGGCCGAAGGCTCTCCGATGCTTAAGTAAGTACGGATTTAGTAAGTTTTAACTGCAGATCAATAGGCAGTATGCCGTAAGTTCTGATTGATTACCTTCAGGCTGGATAGGTGTCCTCTTTTATAGGCCTTGGGAGGTGTGCAATTTGTTTAGAGTTTCGATGTGGGACTCTGGGCGTCAATCGTGGAGCTGCCACGTGCCAGAGTGGGCAAAGTTGCCCTAATGTTGTGATCGGTAGGTCCAGTACCGAAGGTGAGTGCCGAAGGCACACGTAGCCCTGGAATAGTCCACGTGGTTGATGTTCATTGGGTGTTCATTTTGGTATAAACATAGAGATCAATTTTCAAGTTGTTCATCTCATCTTTTGATATGTAGGAACTTAGAATACTAAAGTAATTGAAACTATTTTTAAAATAATTTTAAATTCCACAAAAGTATTTAAGATAATTAAATAAAATTAATTACAATTTATGAAGTAATTTATGAAATTAATTAAAATATTTACATACTAATTCCTCACTAAATAAAAAATAATTAAAACATAAAATATTTAAAGATTATAGCCGGGCGGCTATACCTTCCATATATTCAAATATATATATATATATAAAGTGTATCTCTGAGCGGCTATACCTTATACATATTCATTTACGGCGTATCGCCGCGCGGGTGTACTGTTTGAATATTATATTTGAAGAGTATAGCCGAGCGGCTATACTCTTCAAATGTTCGACTATAGCCGCACGAAGATACTCGTTTAGTATATTCTAATATTTAAAACGTATAGCCGATCGACTATACCCTTCAAATATTTAATTAATTATTATTTATTTAGTGAATAATTAGTGTTTAAATATTTAATTAATTTCATAAATTACTTCATAAATAGTGATTAATTGTATTAATTATTTTGCGGAATTTTAAAATAGTTTAAATTATTAAAAAAATCCAAGAAAATTATTTTTGTATTCTAAAAATTAATTTTAGCCTCCAAACCCTAAATCCAATTCTTGAACCAAAAACCATAGCTTTTGGGGACTGTTAAAATTGGTAATGGAGGTGTTTTCCCAAACATTCTTCACCTTGTTGCTGCTGCAGAAGATTGGTAAAGGGAAATGAGACAATTGATTTGCCTCTCAAGAATTTTAGAGTTGTTTGTTAAAATTTGAGGACGATTTGTTGTAAACACAAACTTTGTGAAGTTTGGTTGAATACAGAATCGTAATGATAATTTTGGTTTAGTAATTATCTTTGCGGAGTGAGATTGGCTGGTGTTTTTTGTGAGATTTGTGGCATCATTGCTATAAGAATTAGCCTTGACTCAAATAATTTATCTTGAAAAAAAATAAAAATAAAAATTATGCTCTGCCTTAGGTAACTATAAATCCATCTGGGCTTGGAGCCATTGTGAATTGTATATACAGTTCAATGTTTCTATCAGTGTACAATTTGGTCTGAAACTCAATAACCAAACTTCTTAAATTGACTGCTCCTTCTCTATCTTTTGAAATTGATGCCTTCATTCTTTTGAGCAACTATCTCTGGAAGCTTTCTTTCATGTATGTCACAGACTCTCAATACAAATATACACGAGGGAATTGTTTATCAATCCTGAAAAAGATGCAAAAAATTTCGTGTTCTTCCCTTCCAACAATGACAGACACAATAATCAATGGAACCCATCACAGAGCTTTTTGAGTTCTTAGTGATCATTAAAAGGTTCCCAACCCTTAGCAGTACGCAAAATGGAAGATTATGACCCCACTTTCAACCTAACCCTCTTCGTCACGCAAAACCAATCGAAGATCAGGAATGTATCCACTTTCTTTGATCAAGGTTGACACAGAATTTAAACTTGCATAAATTATGTCTGATTGAAGGTGTGATGTGTCTCCGGCAACGAAACAATGGACCTGGCTTTTAACAACAATCCAACTTACTCCAGGAGGCTTTTCTAAACCCTTTCCCTGAGCCGTGTTCTCATCTGCCTGACCTCCATCCATAGACCTTCTGCAGCATATATATGGTTCCAGCTAACTTCGTGGCAGAATGAAGTTGACAAGCATTGAGCAAGGCTCTCCACACTGATGCCTCTGCTTCAACAGGCATTGATTCAAAGCTAGGCCTCTAAATCTAACTCTTCCTCCTCGTCTCCATATCCCTCCAAGACTAAGTTTTATTTAAAGTCAGGTACAAAAAATATAAAAAATATAAAAAAGGTCCCAACCCGCCTAGCCTGCCTAGGCGGATTTTTTTATTTATAATTTTTTATTTGTTGGACGATTTTTTGAACACATAGATAGTAACTCGGTTCTGTTTTTATCTTATCCAAACCTTGAAAATCCACCAAACTTGCGCTGATATAGCAGATACTTTGAGTTCCACTCACAGTTGACAAATTCAAAGAGCTTCTCAGGCGAAGCAATGGCCGTGCCTCTCTTCAACCACGCCCCCAATCTTACCGACTCTGAGTCTGATTCTTTGGCCCTCCCTCTCATCCTCAAATACAAATTCATTCTTCGCGCAGGGACGATGACTTTCGGCAAGCAAAACACGTTTCCGGAGTCGTTCGGCCTCCTCAACCAAGCTTTCCTATCCGGCATCAATTTCTTCGACTCTACAGAAATGTATCCAGTGGTTCAGCGAGCCCAAGACTCAGGGTCAGGGGAGGAGCGAGGAAAGTCATTTTGGCCACCAAGATAGTAAAGTAGCTCTGAGAGTATCAGTTCATGCTAACAATGGTGTGCCAGCTTGGTTTTCACTTCTAATGTGTGAAAATTTGTTCTGATATTACAGGTACCGTCTGGGAAGATGACTTGGATACGAGATGCCCCAAGTTTTTGAATGCTAAGAATATCACCGAGGCCATTGACGGCAGGTTTGCTAAAGCAAACAGCGCAAACAATTTGTAATTTTGCTTCTGTTTAAAAGCTTCGTGTTATGCTGTGCTGAGTGATGAGTTATGTAATGTTTAAATGCAGCTTAAGTGTTTTCGGATTGCAGACAGATTACATTGATCATTGGCCTGATCGGTTTGTATGTAGATAAGTGTTTTCGGATTTTGCTTTCACATTACTCTAAATTTGCAGATTGACATGAATCTGCCCCTCTGGGTGAGAAAATGATGGTCATATCTTTTCAACAATTGGAGCCCCAGAAAGCAGCATACTCCTTTTGGGTCAGTTAACCAGACCAACTCAGTTTGTAAACAATCAAAACAACTCAAGGAACATGAAACTGAATATTTAGGTAAGGGAATATTTGTTCATCATCAGCTTCCTAGCAACCAAACATAACATAAACCAAAACAGAAAATGGAAAGTACTGGTTTTCAATTGCAATTTCTCAGCTTCTCATTAGTTTTGTCTCTGGAAATTCAGATATCAAGGCTGGTCTACACAAATGGAGGTGATGCCATTTTGGTGTTAGCATCAAATGCCATTCATTTTCTCTGGAAATGGCCAAAGGACCTTAATTCTGCTGGAGTGGTAAACAATGACATGCTTTATAATTCTTTCCTATTAGATTTCTCCTCTCTTTCCTTTCGAAATTGAAACTGAAGCGATAGTTGGTCATTTGATTCTGATGATATTGATTGAATGCAGGCGACTCCCAAGGTTCACCCTAATTTATGGAAACCAAGGAGTGGCTGATGAACAATGACCTTCCCAGCACCAACCCTGAAGAAGAGGCTATGTTCTGCTTTGATTTGTCCAAGAATGATTCATATCTCATATCACCAACAGGAGGGACGATCTCCATTTTTGAGTATTTGCACAGATGCCAGACCCGCTAGGAAAAAAAAAGTCATAAAAAAAACGCCATACAAGTTTTCGAAAAATCGGCCGCCTAGGCGGTCTAGGCGGGTTCTTTTTATTTTATTTTAATAAATAGTATAGCCGTTCGGCTATACAGTTTAAATATATTATTTCAAGAGTATAGCGGCTCGGCTGTAAGCCTTAAATATTCAAGTACAGCCGACTGGCTATACGCGTTTAATATATTCGAATATTTAAACAGTATAGCCGCACGGCTATATGCTTTAAATATATATATATTAATTTCTTAAATACTAATTAATTATGTTTAATTATCTTAAATAATTTTGGGCTTAAATGTCAAAATGGTCCCTGTGTTTTACCCATTCGGCCAATTTAGTCCCTGTGTTTTTAATTTGACTAATTTAGTCCTTGTGTTTACATCTGTTAGCCAATGTAGGACAATTTGTCAAATAAACGTTAAAATAGACATGTGCATAGCATGTGAGTGGGCATAAAGGTATTTTAACACAAACTCAATCGCTGAAACGCTCGCGACTCTTTTCCTTGGCATTCATGAGAATTGGGGTTTTCAAATTTTATTAGTTCCCTTGAATATCAACCAATTTACATGAGTCCGCATAAAGAGAGCAAGGAGACAAATCGAATCTAGAGATCTCTCTCTCTCTCTCTCTCTCTCTCTCTCTCTCTCTCTCATGGTGATTGCTGTAAATTGCAGTTCCATGGTGTTTGGGTTTGCTCCAGCTGTCATGTTTACCGTACGTGAACAAAATAAGGCTGTTGATGCCTTAGCTGCCAAGAGCTATGATTTCCCTTTGGGCCTTCATGCTTTAGATATGGAACCTTTCTTCCTTAATAATGTTCTTGCTGCTGATGCTAGCAGTACCCCTAATTCAAGGTTGATTCCTATGTAGCTTGTTTGGTTTTGGGTGTTTGGCCCTGTATTGTACCCAAAAAAAGAAGGAATGTAGAGATCTAAAAACCAAAACCGGGGTCCACCAAGCTTGGACTTCACGAGATGATAGCCACCAAGCTTCAAGTTTTCTGTTTAGCAAAGGTTTCAAAGAGATGAGTTTATGCCAAGATATATTTCTTTTTGTGACTTGGGTATATTGGATCTAATGCATTTTTACATATGTGTCAAAATTGTTTGTTGGCACTTATTGGTTTGTAAAGTTTAGAAAAGAAAAAAAAGTTGCATGTACAAAAACTAACAGGATTGGTGGCATTAAAGGTCATCCTTGGATGACTGGTATTTTGTATTGTGTGAGGTACTTAATTTGTTACAGAAACAACTTTAATAGAATCAAAGAAAAAGCAAATTCATTCGTGACAAGAAAATCCATTCTTCCCAAGTACATCCCCATCTGTACCAAAGAAAAAGCAAATCCATTATTGCTACATCAAGATCACAAAAAACTAGTTTGAGTTTCAATGTATATGTACCAAAAAGCAATTCCATGCCTTAATTCCAAACTAACAAAATAAAATTGAATCTGCACCAAAGACGAGTACTACATGGTCTTCTCTTCACAAAATAACTTTGTTTCAACTGCCCAAAAATACCAAAACAGCTCAAAATAGAATCAAATATGCTTTTTTTGTGAACTTGTAGTTGCTTTTTTTGTACAAGCAACTTTGCCAGGTGGTTTCCATGGCTTTGAAGTTCGAAATGAACTTTGTGGTGTGGTGTGCATGCTAGGCCTAGACATATGGGAGTATGAGGCTGCTTGTGGCATTAGAGGCCTGGCTTGCAAAGAAGTTGGGACTGTAATTGTACTTGTCAGATTTGGTGTGATGAAAGTGACCCCTCTAGGCCTGGACAGATTAGACTTTGGGGCTGTTTGTAGCATCGGAGTCCTGGCTTGCAAAGAAGGGGTTACAACTGGCCTTGTGGATATTTGACTTGCAATTGGGATCCTTGGCGCATTTGGTGTAATGAAAGTACCCCCTCTAAAACCCGTGGTGATGGTTGGTTGTACAAGTAGTATACAGTTCAATGTTTCTATCAGTGTACAATTTGGTCTGAAACTCAATAACCAAACTTCTTAAATTGACTGCTCCTTCTCTATCTTTTGAAATTGATGCCTTCATTCTTTTGAGCAACTATCTCTGGAAGCTTTCTTTCATGTATGTCACAGACTCTCAATACAAATATACACGAGGGAATTGTTTATCAATCCTGAAAAGATGCAAAAAATTTCATGTTCTTCCCTTCCAACAATGACAGACACAATAATCAATGGAACCCATCACAGAGCTTTTTGAGTTCTTAGTGATCATTAAAAGGTTCCCAAACCTTAGCAGTACGCAAAATGGAAGATTATTACCCCACTTTCAACCTAACCCTCTTCGTCACGCAAAACCAATCGAAGATCAGGAATGTATCCACTTTCTTTGATCAAGGTTGACACAGAATTTAAACTTGCATAAATTATGTCTGATTGAAGGTGTGATGTGTCTCCGGCAACGAAACAATGGACCTGGCTTTTAACAACAATCCAACTTACTCCAGGAGGCTTTTCTAAACCCTTTTCCCTGAGCCGTGTTCTCATCTGCCTGACCTCCATCCATAGACCTGCTGCAGCATATATATGGTTCCAGCTAACTTCGTGGCAGAATGAAGTTCACAAGCATTGATCAGGGCTCTCCACACTGAAGCATCTGCTTCAACAGGCATTGATTCAAAGCTGGCCTCTCTAAATCTAACTCTTCCTCCTCCTCTCCATATCCCTCCAAGACTAAGTTTTATTTAAAGTCAGGTACAAAAAATAAAAAATAAAAAAATAAAAAAATAAAAAAATAAAAAAATAAAAAAGGTCCCAACCCGCCTAGCCCGTCTAGGCGGATTTTTTATTTATAATTTTTTAACTGTTGATTTTTATTTAACTGTTGGTTTCATTGGTGCAGAAGATCAAGGTGTTTCCTAACGCTCAGCTATCCTTTCGAAGCACTCTTGAGGTCTGATTCTTGAACTCAAACTCAAGGGGCAATTTCATACATTTATCTATTTATAGCAACCCAAGCCCATCAATTGTCACGTTTGCCCTTGCATCTTCGTTTGCCACTTTTGTCCCAACATTCTCAAAAGTCTCCTCATCTTCAATATAAGCCACCTATTTCACTTGGAAATTCTGAGTCACATCTCCATCACAATTCTCTGCATCTGCATCATAGTCATAGTCTTCATTATCCAAACTAGGCCACTGAACAGATGCTTGACTCCTAACTCCATTACAAATTTCAATCTCACTATATTATAACACAACAACCTATTGGATGGTATGTGACCAACCATTTCAACCAATGTAGCATCTGATGTAACAAGCTCCAGTCTAGCCTCAACATTTCTACACCTAATTTCTAAACTTTGCTCGACTTGAGAAATGTCAATATCATACTCAACACTTCTCCCAATTTTGATTAAATCTAGTAAGGACGGAAAATCCTCTACAATATTGTCCAAATAACAGACCTTACCCTTTTTATAAACCTCATTTTCAAACCAGCCCCTATGATGTAATTCTAGAGTGCACATTCCATTGGTAGCTACAAAATTGAAACAACAATATGTTAATTTAAAGTCATAGTTTTGTTGTTAATGTTAAGGACAACAATTACTGAGTTGGGTGTGAAGCAGCAACCAAGAGACCACGGACATTTAAAAAATATTCTGCAGTCAATGTAGCAAACGCCAAAGCGACATACAGGAAAACGATTCCTTTACCCTTACTTTAAGAATAAAACAACCAAAAAGCTGAACACAAACACAGAAAAATGAATCTTTTACACATAAAGAAACCACACTTCCAGACAAGGTCAACTCATCCATTTCCAAAAAATATATATATAAAATGCATTACAGAAGCCCTTACCATATTTGAGAGTCTTTCCACCCGAACGGAATTCGAACTCCATTATAAACAAGTAGTGAATTTCCCAAAATCCCCAAAGTCAAACCCTGACCCAAACTCTCAAATTCGAACTCCAAAATTAGCACTGAAATTACACACTAACTTCTCCAATTTAGCAACTCACACTACTACAACATTGACCAATTCAGCAACTTGCATAAGAATCCCTTTCAGTCCATGGTAATCGCCTAAAATGAGAAAAACATCGACCAAACTGTAGGTATTTTGCTTCTGAACGATAGAGCTTCTCAAAAAGTCATATATACCCTTCAAAACTCAGTCACGTGGCCATCACGTGATCAGAAGTGATGGAATCTGTCACAGATGGACCATCTTAATACAAAATAAAGAGTTTAAGGACGGTTCAAATGAAAATTTTAATTGATAGACCAAAATGATACTGGAGCAATAGTTGGGGGGACCATTTCAGTCATTATTTCACATGATTAATTATTTTGTATTCTTGAGTCATTCTTGGTTACTCCCACATCTGTCTCCATCATTTGAGACATGTGAAAAAACAGAAATATAATAATCCAAGTAAAACACAAGAATAATCCAAGTAAAACATATCAGGGCTATTTGTAGCAATGGTCCCTCAACTACACTCGGAGTTACATTTTGGTCACTCAACTCAAATATTAGTTGCAGAGGTTACTCAATTGTCGGTGCATATTAAACAAAGGGTGGTGATCTTCCCACTCCATTTTTGTCCATTTACACTCTTTTTTGTATTTTAATAGTTTTTACTATAACAAAAAATAGAGTGTAAGTGGACAAAAGAAAAGTGGGAACATACAATTTCTAACAAAGGGAGTGTAAGTGGATTAAAAAAGGGATGGAAAAATCAGCTCTCTAAATAAAATGCTTTAGTTTGAATTTTTAATAGAAAACTACAAGTGGTGTCTCGAAACTTAAATTAAGTGTAATATTTTATTGATTTGGGTTACAATTACAACATTATAATAAAATATTTTATTAAAAACTTACTGTTTATGTGTCAGCCACAGTAATTTAGGATTTTATTAATCATATTTAAATCAATAGTCAGAATTACATTCAATTAATAGTGAGTAGTATGCAAAATCATTGACCACCTATCTAAATGTCACGAAAACTAAATTAGTTACTTTGAAAAGGTGACTACTGCCCCTTGCTTTTTAGTGACAGTGCCTCCCTAATTGTAACCGTATAAACATCATCTCAAATCTACACCTCACAAAGAACTCAACACGTATTAAAGTAGCAAACAAATCAAACTAATAATCCAACTTAACAAACCCAAAAACCCACTTGATCGGAATTCGGGTTTTGTCAAGTCGATTCATTGGGTTGGCAAAATATATGCCTAATTGAAGTAATTTGAAAAGGCAGGTAGCTAGGATCCAAACCAGTTTGAGGTTGCTCTGCATATGTTCAAAATTCTCATATCATTCCATCTAGCTAGACATAAATCTCTACCAACTTCTCTCAGGCATGCAATTTTCTGTCGAGCAGTCATGTCTTTAATAGCCTAATTCACACCAAACACAGAAAGCCCAAAGCACTTTATATAACAAGAACATTGCAATAACAAGCTCAGCAGCAGCACATTAATCACTAGGGTTTGAGATGTCATTGCCTTATTTGTTCTTAGATTCTGAAGTCACGTCTCCAATTGCTCTTTCCCTTGCTTTCATTATTTTTATGTTTCTTGTCAAATTCATACTCAAAACCCACAACAAAAGTAGCGTCCCAGTCGTGCCTCTCCCTCCAGGGCCAAGCCCATGGCCAATTGTGGGTTGTTTGCCTGAAATGTGGAGGAACAGACCAGCGCACAGATGGATCCACAGCCTCATGAAAAAACTCAACACTGATATTGCCTGCATACGCCTAGGAAATGTCCATGTCATCCCAGTAACTTCACCAGAAATTGCCAGGGAATTTTTGAAGAAAAATGATGCAGTTTTCGCATCGAGACCCGTCACAATGGCCACTAAAACTTTAAGTAGCGGGTACTTGACCACAGTGGTTGGGCCTTGGGGAGACCAGTGGAGGAAAATGAGAAGGTTTTGGTTGCTGAAGCGTTCAACCCGTCTAGGGTTCATTGGCTACTTGGTAAGAGAAACGAAGAAGCTGATAACCTGGTTAAGTTTCTGTATAACCAATGCTCAGCCAATCAAAATGGTGCAGTGGTGAATGTGAGAATTGCAGCCCAGTTTTACTCAGGAAGTATCATGAGAAAGATGATTTTCAACAGAACGTACTTTGGCAAAGGGAGGGAGGATGGAGGGCCTGGTGTTGAAGAAGAAGAACATGTCTCTGCGCTTCTTACTTTGCTTACTTATGCCTATGCATTCTGCGTATCTGATTATCTTCCTTGGCTTAGAGTTTTTGACATCGATGGGCACGAGAAAAAGGTAAGGAAGGCTATGAACATTGTCAAGAAGCATCAAGAGCCTATTGTGAATGAGAGGTTACAAGAATGGAGAGATGGCAAGAGGAATGAGCCTGATGACCTGCTTGATGTTTTCATCTCACTCAAAGATGCAAATGGACAACCCTTATTATCAGATGAAGAGATCAAAGCGCAAACCACGGTAAACAATTATAGTATATATTTATCTTATCGTAAATTTAGTAACATATAAAATACTTATATGTTATGTTGTCAGACTTTGAATCGAGATGAAACATGTTCATCATGGCATAAGTATATGTGGATGATATATTAAACACTACGTACACCCAATAAATGCTTCATTCTGAACCTAAAACGAATTTTTGGATGATGTTAAACATAAATATTAATTAGTACCAAAAAAAAAAAATTACCCAACAAATCATAAATATATTGGGGATGATCAGGAGCTGCAGCTCTCAACAGTGGACAGTCCATTCAATGTAGCAGAGTGGGCTCTAACAGAAATGCTCAACCAACCTGAGATGCTAAAAAAGGCAGAAGAGGAACTAGATAGGGTAGTGGGGAAAAAGACTCTTGTTCAAGAATCCCATGTCCCTCACCTCCCTTACATAAGGGCATGTGCAAAAGAAGTTATGAGGTTGCATCCAGTTGGACCATTCAACCTCCCCCACGTGTCCATCGCAGATGCTGAAGTGGCAGGCTACTTCATCCCAAAGGGCAGCAATGTCATCTTAAGCCGCTTAGAGCTCGGGCGCAACCCTAGAGTGTGGGAAGAGCCATTGAGATTCAACCCAGAACGCCATCTGAATAGAGCTGTTGACCAACAAGTTGACCTGGAAGAGAATGACCTGAGGTTCGTTTCCTTCTCTACTGGAAGGAGAGGCTGCATGGGCGTTGGGCTCGGCTCCACCATAGTTGTGATGCTCCTTGCAAGGCTCCTTCAAGGGTTTTCATGGAGCTTGCCGCCAGATGCGGACAAGATTGACTTCACTGAGGATCAGATTTACTTGAAGAAGGCTAGTCCTTTGCTTGCACAAGCCAAACCTCGCTTGCCTGCCTCTGTGTACCCAATATAACTGCGGGCTGAGATGTCGCTAGGCCTACTAAGATACTAGATTGGGCTTTGAGATTATACTGTGATGAAATAATATAAGCTTATGAGCTTCTTTCTTACAGCTGCTATCTGTATGTTTTCTTGCCCCTCTCTCCTTCCTCCATGATTCATGGAGTTTGAGGGTTAGTTGTGAATCTAATATAGCATGGCTTGGCTCCTTAATCTAAAACGGTTGTTTAACGTGGTTTGGTTGTAATGTGAGAGGATTTAGAATTTTTAGAGAAAATAGTCTCCTTGTATTGATATATGTTGTCTCATTATTTCGACAACAATAAGTCATACATGTATTAAAAAATTGTGTTAATTTAGGATCCATCGAAGCAAGGGCAAAAACACAATCATGCTTAGGATTAATAAACTAGTTAACCATATCAATCCAAATAATAACCCCATCACAATGACGACGATGCCCGTCGTTATTGAATAGATCCAACAAACTTCATATCAGATTCTCAACTCTTCCACATTAGAATAAGGTTTCAATCCCTCTTGCAGAATCTATGCTACTAATACAGTAATATTAGCTTGAATAAAATTGTAAACTATAGAAAAGAGATTAAACACGTGACATGTTAATATGCTTATACGAATCTAACCAAAATATTTATCGAGTTTCAAAATTTTATATGTAAATGTTAGTTAGGCTAGTTGATCAAAATAGTATTCTAACTCTTTTATATTTGAGTTCGATCCCCTCCTAATAAACTAAACAATTTAAATGCTAATGCCTGTCGCAAATGACGATGAGATCGAGTTTTGAACTTTGAAACTTCCTTCCTGTCTGACAAACAATGTGGCATGTTAACAAGTTAGCAACTAATTAAACGTCCGGTTGTTACACGTGGCCATCCACCACATGTGGCGTCAAACTCGCCTCCTTTCCCTTTCCTTTTTCCTTCTTTCGTGTCATTTCTTTCTTTTCTTCTCCGTTTCTCTCTCTGCAATTTCCTCTCTTCAATGGCTGAAACCTCGGCTGCTCTTTGCTTCTCACCCTTCTCTTCCTTCCCCTCCTTCTCTCGCGCCAAGGACTCGTCTTTCTCTTCTCTCTCCTCCGCTTTCCCTCCCAAATCCCCAAATTCCCATCCTTGCCCCTCTCGCCCTCTCCGGTTTCGCGCCAATTCCTCCTCCGATTCGTCCAATTCCTTACCCGACGATCTCTTCGGCTTCTTTCCTTGGTCCAATGACTCCGGTAGGTACCCTTCTTTACATCATGTTCATATATAAATAATAAAATATCATTTCCAAGTAATTGGGTTATTAATTTAACATTTAGCATTGTATGTGTTCTTTCACTGTTCTACTGTTTGATCTTTTGGGTTTCATTTTAATATTTTTGGGTTTTCATGTTTGACAGAAATTGAATGGGTTGCTGAGGAGAGAGTCACATTGTTCACTACTGATGGGCTCGTTCAGATTGAAGGCTCCATGGTCCCTAGACGTGTCACTTCCTCAAATGTATGTTATCTTCGTTGTTTTCTCTAAAGCATAAAGTTGAGCCACCGTGTTCAGAGACTTTGAGAAGAGAGCATAAAAAAAAAGAGGTGGGTTGGCTTCTAATCACGCTTTGAGTTTAATAAATGAACTAGCTTGTGAGTCATGAGCTCCTTTTTTAGCTAAATTACAATAGACTGACTGCCATCTGACACTCTGAAAATACCTTGGAGTTGCAATTTTTTAAGTGTTGTTTTTGTACTGGGATTGTGACCATAATTTTATCTTCTTTTTTTGTTTGCCTGATGAGAGAAATTTGATTAGAAATGAGAAATTTGTTGTGCCAAACCCGTTAACATTGAGCCCTTTGTCAGAGGCCCAGTACCTTACACACCAAAATTCACTGAGAGCCCCAACATATACACATATATATATATATATATTATTTGTCATGTAAATAATATAGTAGAGGACAGCAAATACTAATCTCTTGGTCAAACTGGGGAGGCCTTAGGAGCTACAAAATTCATATCATATGCTGTTATTCTTCTATTCCTTGACTATTAATTAACTCCATAGACTAAAAGCTGAAGTAGCTTCTGTAATTTTCTCTTTTTCTTGGGTGCAGGTGAAACTTTGAATTATTGTCGAACACTCTAAAAAAACAGACATACATACGTACGTGAAGAAAGAATTATGTGTGGACAAGAAGAGTGGAGACATGGGAAGCAAAAGTTGCTCAATCTTGAAAGTGACAAGAGAGGGCCGAGGTTGTGGAAATTGTCAGAAGAGGAAGGGTGTTGGGTTGATAATGTAAGTAAATATAATGAATGGTGTGGTTGCTAAAGGAGGAGCATTCACACAGTCCGTGCTCTCCTGTCTCTCAGACTCAGCAAAACACTCCCTTCATCTTCAGTCTTTACTCTTTCATTGACCATTTTCAGAGTTTGTTTGCCGACTGACCGCATTGTCAGCTTTTATGCTTGTGAAAATTGAACATTGTTCTTCTTCTCCCAAGTCCCAACTCTTCATTTATTTGTACCACTTCTTATTTACAGTGCTTTGGAGGACCCATGCACGGTCCATGGCTTCAAGTTTTAATGGGCTCCCAATTGTCATACCAGATGGACCTATTAGTTTGCCACAACGTTGGCCCAAGCCCAGTCGGTCAATTTGCCATAACATCTGTTTTAGTTGCCGGGATGCAAGAAGATTAGATGAGAGTATGGCAAGAAAGAGTTTAGGGCATTTCTACAATTACATCCATGAAATGCCAATAGAATTCAAAAGAAGAAGTAATAAAATCAGTAAGATTATCTATGTTTTGAGGATTTAACAATAACTCAACAACACGAGAGAAAAGGAAGTACCAAAAATAAGAAACCATAGGAAATTTCAAGAAGACAATAAAATGAATTTACTTGTGTTTGTTTATTTACACTTAATTAATAGCTTGATTTTGAGTAAATGACCCATTAGTGTAGTGGTTTAGAAGAAATGCTTCACCAAGAAAGGTCATAGGTTCGAGTCCTAACATTCGTGTAAATTTCAAGAAAACAATAAAATGAATCTACTTGTGTTTGTTTATTTACACTTAAATAACTTGATTTTGAGCAAATGACCCACTAATGTACTGGTTTAGAGCAAATGCTTCACCAAGAAAGGTCATGGGTTCAAGTCATTGCATTCGTGTATTGTGTGTGAGTTTAGTATTGCGTGTTCTTTTCAAAACACCATCTTCTTTTTTTTTTCTCAAAAATATTAAATCAGTTTATAATAGTATAATATAACACTTATAAAAATAAAAATAAAATTTGGACCCCTTGAATAATGGACCCAGGAGGAGTCGCATTGACTGCGCATGTTTAGGGTCGGGCCTACTGCCTCTAAAGAAGCCCACCATGAATAACTCAAAAGGGTATTTAAACAAATAAAAAAAATATAACACAAAGATTTTATAGAAAATTAGTTAAATACTCATTCCTAGACATGGTTCTATAAAGAAACCCAATACCATTCACTGTATATAAACACACCAAAAAAAAACCCAAAACTAACAGCTATTACAATTTTTTAGTTTAATTAGTTAAATCAAATACCTTTATTATCCTTTTAGTATTAAATTAGTTTTTTTGAAAAATTCTGGGCACTCTCTCTCTCTCTCTCTCTCTCCTTTCGCAGAAACCAGGTTGGCTAGTTTTGGCCGACAATCTTGGTGCTCCGGCCACGACTAGATGCGTGATTGGTCGGAAAATGACTAGAGGAGGCCAGCGAACCACGCTTGAGCCCAGCCCCGGAGAGCCCAGCCTCATTTCGCCGTCGCGAGCTCCAAGAACCTTCGAGGGTTTCAAGTTTTTCGACACCTTTTTCGGCTGTTCCGGTGACCGTTGTTGCCGATCCAAGTATCGATTTCGATCGTCTCCTCATGCTATTGCTGATAGTATAATTATTTGAGATCAATTTTAGCTTTTGAGAGCGTGAAAACGTTGTTGTTTCACTCCCTGCCTTGCATTCATCTATTTAGTTGCAACCACATAACTAGAACACATACATTTGTACCTGTCCTGCACAAGTTGTCCCAAAAAAGGAAAAAAAAGGAGTAAAGAGAACAAAAATGGAAGTAGATTCTCGAAATCAAATTTTGTTCTTTGTGTTGTACTTGCCTTTGGAATATTTGCCTTCCGTCCATCTTTTGGCACGTCATTATTCTTCAACAAAGGTTTCATTAGTATTATTAGACTTTCACATAACGCCTATCTCATGCATGATGCTATCCAATGATGATATCTGCAGATTATTTAGGATTGGTTCACTGCAGAATACATACAACTAAACTAGATCATGAAACGTGTCTTAAATTCGACATTAAGTCAGTTGTATTCAGAAGATTATGTACCACCAAATTCAACCTTGATAGATTTACTGAAACCTGAATATCTTCCAATCCATTGAACTGAGTCATATATCAAGATACCTCAGCAAATCCAATCCTATATGCATATATATCAGAAGACTAGTCGTATTCTCCTCACTGTTCATAAGTCACATGCATTATGGAGATAAAAGTTTTTTATTCTTTCATCCTCGAATCCCAAACAGAAAGAAAGTCTTTCAATCCCCATGGATTTGCAAATGGGGTTGCCCACAGTGCAGCCAAAGCCATCTTTATCTTTGAATTATTCTCTCTTTTTCTCCTCCTTTTTAACTATTCCACCATGCATGAGGGTACAAGGGGCTGGATGCTGATAAATTCTATGTCATGGGCTCTTATTAGACCAAATGCTTTCAACATGATAATTCTCATCTCATGACTGTCAATGGCCACATTTGGCTATGATGCATCACGAGTACCAAAAATTCTGAATGTCAAGACCTGCAACTATTGTTGAGATGGAGTCATTCTCTGTATTTTTATAATTGTTGAGTATTGATTTTGAGTGGTATGGAGTTGTACACTTTTATCGTACCTATTATGCAAATACAATGATGTAGTCGTTAACTTCCAGTAAGTGGTATGAACAGTTATATTGT